AGATTTTTATTAGTGTTAATAGATAACCTTACCAAATATGTATTGTTGTTTCCAGCAAAATCCACTCACACTCAATCAGCTATTAGAAGTTTACAGAAGTTTGTTGATCAATGGGGATTGCCGGATCGTTTGATAACAGATAGAGGGACATGCTTTACTTCCAAGGCGTTCCAGGATTACTGTCAACATAATGGGATCAGGCACACTCTCAACTCGTCTCGACATCCGCAAGCAAATGGACAAGTGGAGAGGACCAATAGAACCTTATTGCCAATGCTTGCAATTCAAGCACAAGATCAAAAATTATGGGATCAGAAGCTGAAAGAAGTTGAACGTGACATAAACAACACGGAAAGTAAGACTACCAGATACACACCATTTGAGTTAATCCACGGATACCGGCCTCAGTTTCATTCAAGCGTGCTGAGATTACTAGATGGTGTTGGTACACATCAGCCTTTGAATTCAGTAGAGTTACAGGCCAAGGCAAGAGATAACATTTTGAAAACTCAGGTATCAATGAAAGAAAGATATGATCAGAAAAGGAACAAATCGATAAGCTATGAAGTTGGAGAAATGGTGGCAATGCTGCGTGCACCTACCCCAGGTCAATCTACCAAGCTTCAGACCAAGTATCGGGGCCCATTGCAAGTTATAGGGAAACTACCTGGAAACACATATCGAGTCGCTGAGATGGCAAGGGATGGTAAACACATTTATGCTACAACGGCTCATGTGTCTCAGTTGAAGGCAGTTTCAATAATGCAAGAGGAGCAGCTTGAGGAAAAAGGAAGTGGGTCATCAGCAGATGAAGATGAAGAGACTAACAAATCAAATGCTGATCTACCAAGGGTGGAAGAAACTGTTAAGCTTAAACGTCAAAGAAAACCACCAAAGTATTTAGAAGATTATGTTTAATTAAGTCCATCTAAAGAACTGATTTGTTTAATTTTGTTTAAAATATTAATTTAGTTAAATCCATCTAAAGAACTGATTTGTTTAATTTTGTTTAGAATATTAATTTAGTTAAGTCCATCTAAAGAACTGATTTGTTTAGATTTGTTTAAAATATTAATTTAATTGAGTTTGTTTTATATAATGACTTATCGAGGTCGATAAGTAAGGGTGGATGGCCGAGTGTTGGCTACCCTGTTTTTTGAAAAGGGCTTGACCATTCAGTCATGGTTATAGTCAGTCGCAGAGTACCGGTTGTGGGCTCTGTTCGTAATGTTCGTATGTTTGTTGTTATTTGTTTATGCATTTTAATAAAACTGCTTTAGTAAGTACAATTCGTTTGTCTTCGTTTAAAACCTATTAGTAACAATTCTGTTATAACACTTTCATTTTAATTCACTGGTAAATCTTCTTTTGGTTTATCTTTTAAATGTTTTAAGACCGATAGTTGCTCATTTAACGAATCGATTAATATTTTATAATAAAATGGTATTTTTGTTGGATGTAACGCAATTTAATTCATTTATTTTAAATTATTATCTATCTAATATTCTAATGCGAGTAATGCCTTTTGTAACCTCAAATATTTTTCCAAATAGTTCAGATTTCTATATTTCCTTTTAAACGTTGAGGCCATGTCCGATACATTTTCCTTATCTTCACTAGTGAGAAGACAAAACCCAACAACTTCACTGAGCCCGTTACTGTCAACCACTATAATCAAGTTGAAGGCAACAAACAAATTATATTGAATAAGTTAAACGTAGTAAATATAAATACCTAAAAAAACGTAGAGGGGCATTCTTAAGTCATTGACTTTATATATGGCATCAACAAATAACACTTCAGGACACAAAGAAAATATTCTTTGCATTTCTTTGTCCTGGTAAAATATTGCTTTGAGCTCATTTTTTTCATTTTTTAAAATATTAAGGGTGACGTCAGTTCCCTCATAACTAGTTGCCAATATTTTTAAGGCGTCTGATGCCGGTGATTTGGATATAACCAAATTATGTATATCCTTCAACGTTTTACAATTTTGTTGTGGGTTTTCATCAGATCATTTTGTAATATCTTTTTATTGACCTTCATAGTTACCAATTTTGATGTCATAATTCTAGAATCAGTATCTAGCCTTCTTTGCCTGGGATAGTGATCATACATTGCCTAAAATAAATATATTTTCTTCATACTGTATTTATATACAATTTCTATTATTATTTTGTTAACTATTTACCTTGCTGCATATGTGATTATGTTCACTAATAAAACTTTTTATCACTAATTTCTCTCCACAATGTAGTAAACCGACGTTTTTACACAAAAACGGCGTTCCAAAGGTTAGGTGGCCTGAACAACATCACGCCACCAAAATAGGCCACTGAGGCTGCCGCCTCATTGGTTAATACTGATCAACTACACATCACGCCATTCCTATGACGTCAATCATCCTTTCCTAAGTCCCGGGCATGTCTCATATAAATAGGGGCCCTGTTTCACAGACTTTTCAGACATAGAAGTAATTACCAGTGCTTTACAATACTTGTGTGGGTCGCGGACTAGAAACAGCCGCATTACCGTCCACATCAAGTATAATTTCAATTACAACTATTCTCCGGTAGAATTATTATTCTGTCGACAAATTTTAAATTACTTTAAATTAATTATATTATTAGTTTCGTGTTAATAAACATTATATCTATAATTAACTACATTTTGTGTTAAACTATTCTTACTCTACCTTCACTTCAACCACCATCCTCCGATTCATTGCGACGACGTGTACCTACGTGCATTCGTCGTTAAAGAAGTGTGCAGTAACCAATCAAGTGAGAGCGACGGGTTACTACAACAATCATTGGGTCGAACAGTCAAAACCACAGGGCAATTTGAACGAAAAGAACTGGAATAAAAATAAATACCAACCAATATGTTTTTTAAGATGTTCCGTAATTCATAAATTGTAAATATTTTAAGTATAATAAGTATTTTAATTCTACCTTTGTTGCGGCCGGAGACCTGTTGATTGGGTTTTGTACTCGCCACTTCTTACACACCTATAATCAAGAGCGGCATATTCCAAAATTGGATTAATGTGCCTTTTTAAGCCCTTTTTACTAGCACCTTCAATGGTCCTAGAACTGAACTTCGTGAAGTTGGACATGGTCTTATTTTCATACCTTGAAATTGAATTTTCCAACTCCACCAGAGAGGAAAATTCTTTACCAATTTCAAGTTCCAAAGACTATATGTAATTAATTATTAGATATATAGATTATTAAATATAATTAAATTCATAAACATTTACTTGATTTTCAGCATTTACATTGTTGTCCATTTTGTTAAAATTAAAAAAATATATATGTAAATATAATAATAAAAATGATTAAGTCAAAAAAATTAATCAGCACTAAATAAAATTATTATAAGTCAAACAATTTAATTCACACAAAATAAAATTATTAAAAGTAATTGAATTAAGTCAGTTGTCAGTACAAAGTTGTGTAGTAAAATAATAAAAATAATTGACAAGTCAGTGGTCAGAGGTCAATTGTGTAGTCAAAGAATACTGAAGTCTAATAGTCATATTACTAATCAGCTAGTCAGCTAGAGATCAATAAAATGTTGCTTTAAAATAGTAGTATAAATATCACTGGCAATTCCAATTTTAAAAACTATATATATATTATATATAATTGATCCATAGTGATCATAGTGATCATAGTGATCATATTCATCTATAATTCAACTAATACAAAAAACAAAGATTTTCGAACAAATTGTTGCACAAATCTTTAATATACATTTTTTTATATTATGCAGTAACGTTTGGAATCTATGATTATATACAATAAATAATTATATTATTATTATTGTAAAATATTTAAATTTATGCGGGAAATATTGTTATATTATCATATTATATCTTTATCAGTTATCATGGTCTAGTGACACTTCCACAGATATAAAATACTAGATAGCTAACAAGGCATCGAACATTGAAGTTATCCGCCATATGCGTGTAGGTCAATGTTTACATCACGGACTAAGATATACAGGACTGGACACGACAAGGTTGGAGGGTGTGGGGGGGTTGACTACGAAATGTTTTACAACAGGCAGTGTTCGGGGGGATATTTTCCTTTTAGCATTACTAGCGCCGTCCTAGTGGATACTTATGGAACTAGAACACATCATACAAATTTCTAGTTCCATAAGTATCCACTAAGACGGCGCTAGTAATGCTAAAAGGAAAATATCCCCCCGAACTCCGCCTGTTGTAAAACATTTCGTAACCACAATATTCATCTCGTGTCCAGTCCTGTATATCTTAGTCCGTGGTTTACATAATTGTCTTATCAATACGACATGATAACAATCTGATAGTCAAAATACTTTAATATCTGACGATGAAAAAATTGAATAAGGATAATATTATGTGTTTTCATTAAAAACAATTGCAATAGAAGTATATATTTTTTATATTTTTTTAATATTTTATAAAAAAATTTATTCTGTGCGAATAATATCATGTTATCATACAGTATTGATAAGATAGTTATGTAAACATTGACCCACACGCATATGGTGGCTGACTTCAACATCGATTTCCCTAATTTAGACAAGTTAGCTATCTAGTATTTTATATCTGTGGACACTTCTCAATTACGGTAACTGATATCAGATGTACTATCAGTATTAATATTACGTCCAATGAGGTGACAGGATGTGAAAATACATAGTTTCACGTCGGACGTGAAAATAGCCACTACGATATCTTAAAGCTTAAATCTTAGATCATATATGAGGCTTAAATCGTGCCATGATCTATAAAATATCACGCTTTTATCAGGTATTCTGTGCTTTTATCACAAACTACGATAAAAATTAATATTTTATAAACAATAAACATTGAGTTATATTAATTTAATAATTTATATTCATAACTTGTACTATAAGGCCAAAGCTGGACAATTTCAAGTTTTTTTTATATACACTACACACAAGAACAATTTTTTAAGTTTGATAATATTTTTATTCACATTATGGTAAGCTATTGTTTTAAACATTCTTAGTTCTATCTATAGGGCCCATCTATAAGGCTCTATAGTTCTATATAATATTTTACAATAAGTTGTGTAGGTACTTGTGTGTTATATTGTTTTTTAGGCTAGTGATGATGAGACGGTTTGTCAAATTATGTCAAAAGTTAAAATTAATGAAGAGGATGAAGATTCTGGAGACAATTCTTCATCGGAAAACAGTAGTGGTTAGAATATTATATACCTAGAGAAATTTTTTTTTTATAAAATATAATTTTTTTTTAATCTAATACTGTTAGAAACTAGTGAAGATTCCGTTGAAATTGAAGTACCTTTTAAAGTTGGTATGTGGGATTTGAAGCAGTGTGATCCAAAACGATGTACTGGAAGAAAATTAATGAGACTAGAACTGATTGACAAACTTGGGATGTCTGCTATGTTTAATGGTATCGTTCTAACACCTGTTGCTACTGAAGTAAAGTAATTGTTTTCATTATTAATTCAATTAATGCTTACATTTAATGCTGTGCAGAGTGTTTCAGCTATGGACAATCAAATTATTGCTAAATATGGTGTGGCTGTAGTGGATTGTTCTTGGGCACGACTTAATGACACTCCATTCCACAAGTTGCAGCATAGAAAAGCAAAAAAAAACTTGCGATTGTTGCCATATCTTGTTGCTGCTAATCCAGTCAACTATGGACACCCTAGTAAACTATCTTGTGTAGAAGCTTTAGCTGCTGCCATGTACATTGCTGGTTTCAAGGAAATTGGCGATTTGTACATGTCCAAATTTAATTGGGGTCCAACATTTATACGCCTCAATCAAGAATTATTAGATGGCTATGCTAACTGTAAAGATGGGAAAGAAATTGTTGCTTTTCAAAATCAATACTTAGACCAACTAGGTAAATCAATATTTAAAATTATATGCCATTCATACATAGATAGTTTATTTTTGAATGGAATTATTTTAGATAATGATTACAATCATGAGAGTAGCAGCACAGAATCAAGCAGTGAGTCTAGCGAGGATGATGTAGAAACAACTGTAAGAAATCGATAGATTAATTGATAACATGTCAATTTTTTTTATCGTGTCAGAATATTTTTTTAAATAAAGACTGATCAAAATATGTTAGCTTTATAGTTTATTCTATTGAAAAGAAAAATATTAACTTCTTGCTATTGTAAATGGCCAGTTTTATATTATTGATTAATTATCAAAATTGTAACTGATAAATGTTAATTTTGACTAACTGAGTCCTACCAGTTACAACAACATACATCTGCCATGTGCCTATATATAGTTAAATCTGTGATGCGCCCTGCACAAATTAAAATTAAATAATAATTAACTTAGGGCGGGTTGCATGGAAACAGTCTGTAAATGTTATTCCCGACCTCATGGGCGGATATGCCATTTTTGGCCTACTGGGAAATTATTAAAAGGGGCCCCTTGGCCCACATGAAAATAAAATAAGCTCACTTTGCTTGCAACTATATTATTAGGTGAATTATATGAGCTACCATATCAAACGAAAATAATGTACAACAAAACACATTTTTAAAATCATTTATTTATTTTTTAATTTTTTAAATAATAACATTCTACCAAATACTGAGCACCTATTGCTCCTAATTTATTAATGATGTCTTCAAAATCAATTTTGTTCCGAGTATCTTTTAGATTATTTTCAAAATATTTGTGAGTTATTACCCACCTTAACAGTCTCAACTCACAACCGTGACCACTACCCGCCACAATACCACAGAACAGTAATAGATTTATAGATATAAGATTATATAATAATATAATATTTCAAATTTCTATTGTAATTGTATAATATTATAATATTAATGAGTCATTGCATTAACCATAAAAAGGGGCCCATTGCTGATATACGAAGTGGGGGCCCACCGGGAAATGCCCGGTTTCCCAGTAGGCCTATCCGCCCATGCCTGACCTGTAATTTATTCATTCTATAAAGTTATTACATTGTGTTAAACTATGCTATTTGCATAAAGAAGTATTCAATTATTTATACCAAATAAATTAAACCACCAATAATATCAATGATATTTCATCAATCTGCGAGTGTTACCGAACCAAAATCCGATTGGTAGTTTACAGGTCCAGCAATCGGTAACATACAGAACTATTACAGTATCGAGCGTTCAAGCAACACTGTTTTATTTACACAACCGTTGAAGTTTAATGGTGCGGTTCATTAAGTCACTACATGACGTTTATGCAACCCACCCTAAGAACTTTTTAAAATTAAAATTAATTATTTCACACTAACTATGTACAATTATTATGAAAGATTGGATATTCAAGTTGTCTAAAACTATATTTTGTTCATTTCTGGATTCTTCCTAAGGGTACTACGACATGAGTAGGAGCTTATGTAGTAGTATATATAGTATGACTATTGTTATTGGTACTTATTTGTAGTTATGATTTTAAAAGTAAAATTTCGTTTTCATTCTGATCTATATTCACTGCTTTTGTTAAAGGTTTGGAATTTACTTTTCAATTTATGTGTGAAAATTTTTTCTTTTTCTTTTAAATAATTCCACAATTTTACTTAGAGTTGTGCTTCTACTTACATGAAAATTGTACACTTCAATATAAATAAAGTATATATACATTATACAGCTTTTAAAAAGCATTGAAAATAAAATACTAAAATTTTTTGCATATTAAATTTATACTTTTTAATTGTTTCATAACTATTAACCGTATAGTATATATTTATATAAATACATGAATAAAATTGTATTTGTTAAAAAATTATGGATATAGACATTTTAGTTATAATTTAATTATTAAGGAATAAAAAAAAGTGAAACATTTAACAATAGTTAAAAGGTACCATCCACATTATTGGTTACAACTGATAGTAATAATTAAAATAATTTTACAAATTATTATTATTGCTAATTGGATTTCAAAATAAACAAATAATATAATACAAATTATCATGGTCAACATTCAATTGAAAAGCTGATACTAATTATACAGAAAAAAAAATATTAAAACACAAATTTTATGTGAACAGTCATACTTAATGTAACAATATTACGCTTCATCTTGTTCCTCCTTTTCATCATCATCATCATCAAATTCACCTTCATCTTCTTCTTCTAATTCTTTCTTGGAAGCTTCTTCAACTTTAGGATCTCTAGAATAGTTTTTAATTGTTAATAAAAAAAACAATTAAATAAAAGTTGAGAACTTACTTCTTAATTTTATCTTTAAGAAAGTCTATAATGTGTTCTTTACGCGTTTGCTGTATAAACGATACAGGTGCAGAGTAGTACTGCTCTTTAACATTGGAACCCCAACCAGAATACTAAAAAGTAAAACATATATTTTAAAAGCAAATTTAACCATAAATTACTTGTTATGAACAAATCATTTTATTTTATATTTCCATAACATAATATGATAATAATATACTTACAACGGAAGTATTTTTGTATAATACTTTACCATCCTGTTTGAATGGAATATACTTTTGTAACAACGCCTTGCCATCAATTTTCCATACAGGAGGGTTACCTTTACCAATCATATCAGTCTTGAGTACGACAAATGCTCCTGACTAAAATATATATTTTAAACTTAATTCAAGAAATTAAATATTGTAAGTTAAGTATATAAATACAGTGAATTTTTTAGCTGGCTTTGCGTTTGGTCCTTGATTAAGCACTTCTTCCTCTTCTTCCTCTTCTTCTACATCTTCATCATCATCTTCTTCATCCTCTGCTTCATCGTCTTCCTCCTCATCTTCTTCAATGTCTTCATCCTCTTCATCATCTTCGGGCTCTTCTTCAGGCTCAACTTTTAATACTTTAGATGCTCTTCCACGACCTCTAGCTGATGTTGGTATTGGTGCAGCAGGTGGGGGTGGTTTAGCTTTTGATCCTCTCTCTTTTTTAGGTAATATTTCTTCTTCTTCATCATCATCAGAAACCTTTGGTTTCTTCTTTTTGCTAGCAGGTGCACTTTTGGCTGGTCGTCCTCGTTTACCAGGAGTTTTGGCCTAAAAAATAAATAAATTTAGTATTTATTCATAACATATAATACTAATAAAACATACAGCAGCTGTTGGAGCCCATTCATCATCAGAATGGTCTCCCACTTCTTCCGGTTCATCTACTTCAAATTCATTTTCTGAGTCACCTGCTACAACTTCCTTACTTTTCATCATGACTAAAAAAATAATTTAAATAAAATTAATTGTAGGTAAACACATTATATTGTTATAACCAAAGTAATTAATTGCTTTTTATTCAAAACATTTAGACATTATTTGCTTATGCTAATGCTATAGTATGTTTCATAACAACTGCGACTTGATGCTAACGCGCTTCGTGGTGTTTTTTCATTAGGGTTTCTAAAACTAGCGCGTAATAATGCACAACATATTTGAAATTGATAACAAATATTTTACGATCTTTTTTTGACCCTAGTTTGAAAACCCGCCACGAAGTGCGTTAGGGTCGAGTCGCAGTTGCTATGAAACGTACTATAATAGGAATCTCTGATTAAAAATGATTTATTAGTATACAATTTGAAAAAGCAACCGATTTTAAGTAGGTATTATATTCATTGCACATTATTTGCAAATATATTTTATGTTTAGCTACATATTTTTTTTTATATTTATCAAATCATCTAGGTATAGTTTATGTGATTTTAATGTGTACCTACTGTGCCTATTATTTAATATTTTATAGCATGTACATATTATATAGTTTTCCTTAATAATAATAAATTTATTTTTGAAATGTTAAATAATAATTAGTTTGGAGTCTTATTAAATATCATTTACCTTGGAAAGTGGAAAATATGAGAAAAAAATGTGTAGCATGTCAACTAACCACCAAGAGGCTGGCATATACTTTTTATTCGGGTAACAACTAAACAAGTAGTTTAGTTATCAGCATTTTTGCCTTTACGTAGAATCTTAGTTAATATTCTATAGATAATAAAAAATTTACAATTGTTGACAACTATCATATTATTATTACAGATACTATTACAAGCTAATTATATTGAATTAATAATTATTTGTGGGTTCAAAAAAACATAATAAAAATGTTCAATATTTATATTTATATATACCAAAACATTTCAGTTTTAAAATTAAAATGTGTTAATACTAAATCAGTATATCACTAAAATATTATAACATTTTGAGTCAACGTGTGTCACATTGACTGCAGTTGTACCTACTATAGGAAAAAGTTATTGGCATTTAATCAGATAACAGTAATTGTAATTTATCTTATCATTTACGGTTTTCCCACACCAAACATCTTACATAATATACAGACATCACAGGTTGATAATTTATATTTAGATAGGTACCTGTTAAGTATTAAGGTGTTTATAAATGTTCTAAATTTTATGTCTTGTGGACTTTATCTTCAAGACATTATCTGTTCTCCCCTTCACAGGTTAAGATACAATTATTTTTTTTTTTTTTTATTGGTATTTAAAGCCCAGTGACTATGGCCATTAGCCGATTGGGGGGTTTTATGATTGTAGGTAGTAGGGTTTGTAACGGTAGGGTTTTCACACGTGTGTGTTGTTTGGCAGAATTTTTGATTGGGCACCTGTAGGTATCTGCCATGCCTGGGTGGGGGATGGCGGCATTTGTTCTCCGAACACCGGGACTTGTCCGAAGAAAAATGCCGCCTGTGGTCAAGGAATCGAACTCGGGTCGGCCACTCCGTCCCCCCCTTTTTTTTTTTCACATAAAACCCAAATATTATAACTGGTCAGAACATAGTCTACTTTGGTTTGGAAAAAAGTGTATTCTGTAGATCTGTGTAACTTATAACTATCTGCATGAAATAAACCTAATATCGATAGTGCACAAAATTATCAATCAATAGTTGACGAATACATTCAAAAAATTGATTCCAAATTAAAACTGTTTAAAACAACCGTTAGCAAACTATAATATTAAAAACACGTGCCTACAATAATTGTATAATAAAAAATTTAAGACATTTATCAATAAACGCTATAAAAATTTGTGAAAATCTTCAATAAAGATGTTTAAAAGTTTCGGAGAAAAAATAGAGATTAGATCCCGAAAACTATAAAACGTTCTATAGTTACAACTATCGGTTTACAACGGCCAGTATGGAGCATCGAATTTACGCATAATATTTTAGTAGCAAACAATATCGCCTGTTTCATTTTACTCTCAAACAATTTCAAAACGTTATCGTTAGACACATACACACAAACGCACGCGCACGCGCGCGCCGCATACACGAGTGCCGGTAAACACTACACATTGGAAGACGGAGGCTTCGAAGATACGGTATAAAGACAGACACAGACGTATATAGCGGATAAAACTTTGGAAAAAAAACGAGTGAGCGGATCCACCAACAAGCGATGATCGTCGAACAATATGACCGGCGTAATACCGGTCGCCAACAATGATATAAACGGCCATAATTGTGTTTTGAACGGCTGACGGGTGGCCGGCCGCCGCCGAATAAGACCAATATCGTGTGGACGCACCGCGGTGGCAATCGTTCGGAAGGTTAAAATAGGATTTTGACAACGTTCGCGTCGCGAATCCATGCGCACGGGAAAATGGCGGCAAACGAAATCCAACCTAACGCACTACGGTGCTAATAAAATATCATACTTACGATGTTTGCTAACCGCGACGATAAATCAACGATGGTTAATAATTATCGGCTGGGACTAGGTATTGGACACCCGACGATAAAATTAATTGATCTGCTCCCGTGCGTCGACGACGATTGATTGCAGGCAAGTGGAGGGCGGTATAGGCACAAGAAAATTAAATAATAAACACAAACAAAACGACACAACACTGGAAGCGGTCAGCGTTTTAGACGGCCGCGACGCACACAAACGATGGATTACAGTGATGTGAAATTGTCAGAACACAATTATACAATACACAACAACCGCACAAGACCGCGCCACCCAGTGGCCAGTAGCGACGAATGCAAACAAACCGAACGCGGTTAGACGCAGTGCCGCCAGCGGATGCACCATCGGTGGACGGTGAACTTCAGACATTGGTCACACCAATCGCACCGATCGTTCCGTACCAAGGCGTACCACAATATGATATTATGGTACCGTGCATTAGCGTTCCTACCGTGTGTCCGTGTTCATTTGACTATTTTGATGTTTCGTGATTTGACTGGCCGCCGCCGATCATGTGCCGGAGTGCGCCATGACCCATTGGCCAATCGCCCCCCGGGAGAATTAAAGCCCGAGGTTACCATTCACAACCATCAGCACATGCTTCTATCACCACTACGACACTACCATGGTTGAAATTTAAAATATATATGTACTATGTAGTATATTTCATCCATGGACCCTACCGTCACCGGCAAACGCATTGTCCGACGGGCGACGAGTGACGATCCACGACGAGCCACTCCTCCTAAGAAAATTACTACACTAGCGTCGCGGTTCGTTCTTTAATCACTATCTAAGTCACCCTCACCAAACCCCCTCGCCGTGACCTGTGATAATAACAAAATATTTCACTGTTCAGTGTTCAGCGCAAAATAATATTGTTATTATTGTAATATTGTGTCTTGTAACGACTCCACTAGGTCTTATACCTTAGTGGCCACGAATAAGTAATAAGTAATAGTGCTATAGCATCGAAGACAGCGCGTGCGTCTCATACATGCTATTGTAAAATTGTTTACATTAATAATAGTATTATAGTTTTAAACACCTGCTCGTGTGTTTTTTTGTTGAAAACAATATTCCGCCGTACGACGTCTATCCGCTTTTTGTCCGAGAAACCAATCGGTCATCAGTTGTCGCGTAGTGTTTTTTTTTTTAAATTAACTAATAATAAAACTATCGTTAGTTTAAATCGCGGTAAGTCCACAGCGAAATGGACGATTTCGTGGTATACTATAATGTAGTCTGTAATAATTGTAACCGTCGACGGACGACGATATTTTGCTCGACACGTCCGTGTCCCGAAAACAAATCGAATTTATATGTATTATTTTTACATCGTCGTTGGTCGCGGATCTCCCGGTAATCGGGATTTAATTGTATATCAAGATGTGTTAAAAATTCAACCCGATCCGTGTTCAATCGATTTTTTACGATGTATTATATCCATTACTATGCATGCACTATTCATCGTCACGTTTTCATTGTTTGCTCTGCTCTCGGTGAAGAGTTTAAAAAAAAAAATTTGTTCGTTTTAAAACGCCAACTGTTTTTGAGAAATACCTACTACGTTATGGCGAGTCCAACAGCAATGAGCTAATGGGATTGTGTTTGGAATACAGTCTGTACTGTCGGTGTCAATTAATAATATTGCTTTATGCACGTAGTATTTTTGTTGTTTATTAAATAATCTGATCGAGTCTGTAATTTATTAACTATGGATCTCAACAAGGTACATTATTCCAATATTTTCTTAAAATGTACCTACCGCCTATGGATAACAAATATTTAAATTTTAATTTATGACATTTATATGTAGAAATTATTAAAAAGTAAAAACCCCAAATACCCAATTGTCTGATGATGGTTAAAATGCTTGTACCTATATTATTATCTCCCTAATTCAAGACACAACATGAAGTTGTATTGAGTCCTGTTCAGTTATTTTTAAACAATAAAAAGATTAAATCTATTATTAAGTTCTATAATCAAATACAGGAGTTCATAGGATTTCATATTATCTATTTATAAATATTAATTTCTACCTATAGGTATTTTATTTTTTTTTTTTCACTTCAATTTTTATCCATAGAGATCCAACTACCTACCATTATTATTTTGAAAATAAGTGTACTTACATTTTTAGTATTGTATTAATTCAAGAAGTTATTATTTTTATAGTTCTATCGATGGATGAAGACTCAATTAGTGTTCATGGATCTACTGCTGATTCCATTGAAGCATTTGATGAACTCCAAGTGCTAGACGAAATCACAGATGAAACCGACAATATTATTGAAGGTGATGACCAATTAGATGAAGAATTTGATACTAGAAGTGAAGCCAGTTCTAGTTCCATTGATGAAACTTCAACAAGAAACAAGATTAAATCCGAAAGATACATAAGAATAGAAGAAGATACACCAACTAAGAAAAAACCCTCTGAAGAATATTTATCTCAACTAAGACTCTTGTTGAAAGAAGCTCGTTTTTTCATTATAAAAAGTAATAATTATGAAAATATTGAGTTGGCTAAAATTAAAAATTGTTGGTCTACTAGACCATGGAATGAGACAAAGTTAAATCAAGCTTTCAGAACATGTAAGAATGTAATTTTGATATTTTCAGTTAAAGAAAGTGGTAAATTTGCAGGTAAATACTAAAATTTTAATTTATGTTTGATAATTATAATTTTCTTATCCCATCCTTTTGTTCTGATACTTCAGGGTTTGCTAGAATTTCTGAAGCAGCTAGATATGATTTGTCACCAGTTGGTTGGGTACTACTTGGAAGTCGTAATTTATCGGGTGTATTTAAAGTTGACTGGATTACTACAAAAGAGTTAGAATTCAATGATACTTCTCATTTATATAATGCATATAATGAAGGAAAAACTGTCAAAATTGCTCGTGATGGCCAAGAAGTTGATGGTAAGACTGGATTACAATTGTGCTCAATGTTTCTGGAAGACAAATCAATTGATTTTCAGTACATTTTAAAAAAAGCTAAAAATCATCAGCCCTCTATAAGTACAGCCGAATTACGACAACGGCGTAGAGTGCTTGGTTTACCAGATGAAGGACCAACAAGTAAAGAATATATACATGCTTACCGATTTGGGATACCACATAAACAACCACCAAGAATGTTATCACATCCATATTATGTGCGCCCACCTTTGTATCCATCATACCAATATAATTTAAGCGGATCACCAATGGTACAACGTTATTATGATGATGTACCATTGCCTCCTTTTCGACTTCCCATACATGTACCAGATACGTATGCAAGGCCGTTAGAAGATTACTATAAAAGAGACCGATTAGTTAATCTCAGGGAATATCATTCGAGTCAAAGACGCGAAAAAGAACGCCATACTCATAGACATCGTTATCATTAAATTTTTTAAAAATACTTTCAAAAGATCCTCCTTAGATTACTAATACTGAAATATTAGTATTAAGATTACTAGTCTTAAAAGTAAATACATTTTATTGTTATTATTATTTTTGTATAATTGGAAATTTTATCCTACTATATTATGTTGTTTATTTAATTTATTATTATTATTATTATTATAAATGGTTCTAAGTTATTATTTTGTACAAACATAAGTGATTATTAAGACTTATTTTTGCTTTTAGTAATACTCTTATTGTTTTATGATTTTGATCAACTTTCATTTCTCTTTTATAATACTTGATTTAATTTTTTACATTTTTCAATGCGACTTTAAGTACCAATTTAAAATTTAAATTCATGTACACATTTGTATTTTGACGCTGTGTGTTTTTATAAGTATTTGATATTGTAAATATATTTTTCTCTTTAATCTATTCTGAACTTAAATCATTTCCTTGGCGGCTTTTATTTTGAAAATTACTTAATGAAGATTATGTGTTGATGTTCAAGAATATGGATCAATGAAATGGTTTCAATTATTTAACAATCAAATAACATTCAACAAAAGCGTTAAAAAGTAAGGAAAAATAGATTCCGTAAAACTAATGTAGTTCAAATTGAATGGCGCCACGGAAGTAATGCGAAAGCAATTTCCGCAGTGCCGTCGGTTTCAAACAAAAAAAAAAAAAAAGTTCAAATTTAATACAATTTAAAATTCATATTTTTATTCCTAAAAACATGCAAATATTAAAGATTTAACCAGATAAATAAATAAAAATCGAATGTTACAATAATTATCCTTTTTTAGTTGTTAATATTTATTTTGCTCCTATTAAGTCCTATATTCAGTGATTATTAAATGCATAATAAAATATAGGTTGTAAATGAAAAAGTTACTTCTCTTTCTTCAACACTTGCACATTCCTAAATGGCATAACAATATTATATTATCTATGATAACAAATTTAAAGATTAAAATTTAATAAGCTAATAATTTATTGTCGATTTATGATTGCACAACCAACCATAGGCGTGTGCAGAATTTCTGTACATAACACACACATATGATGTATATATAATATTAATATTCACACCTAAGTTATAAAAACTAATTTGGCTGGGGTAACCTCATTCAACTACATTTACCATAGTCAAAAAGTTTTTAATTTATGTTTGACCATCAATTACCATAGTAATAATATTGAATGAGGAGTTCGCAGAGTAGTCAAGTGCCTACCATGACTACACCGTGCGCACGCTTATCTAACTAACAATGACGTATTGACACCAGATTCATCCACAAAGAGCATCAAGAGCATTGGTGCATCTATAGGGGGACTTAGCCCCCCTCCCAAAAAAAATATCCCTTATTGATTTAGATATAAGCCTCCTATGGGTTATTTTAAATAAATAGTTTTGTTAGCCCCCTCCCAGAATATTTACGTTAGTTGCGCCAATGATTGAGAGCTCCTAGTGCAGGGTTGGCCAATTAACATTTTTGAAGGGCCGTAATAGGATTCTGAAAAGTTTTAAATATTTTTATAACTTGACATAATAATACATTCACAGCTTGGTTATAATAATAATTTAGTTTATAAATTATAAGTCTGACTTAACCACAGTTATAAATTATTATTTTTATTTATATCTGAATTATTGGTGCAACTAGGGTGGTGCACGGGGACAAGGGACTTGCGTACCAGTAAAAAAATGAAAGCCTATCTCTATTATATTTTGAAGTAAAAATTATCAATTAATAAAAAATGTTGTACTTTACCTAAAGGTACTGTACAGTACTACAGTGTATAATGAGGAATATAATATTATAATAGGAAGGTACTATTATGTTCCCACTAACAGCTATAGCCTTTAAGTAATAATAACATAATATTTTGAAATAATCTAAAATAGCTGAATGTTGTATAGAACAGGTTATATATACGTAGTTATTGTTCTATGTTATTACTTATTTGTGTAACAATTATCATAATAATATTATACTATAAATTGATGAAATATTAAAATATAGTACATAAATATACATTTGAAATTATTGTGTATATGTTAATAACCAGTGTTGAGGGACGTGTTGGTTCTGGGAATTCTTTAAAATTTGAGCAACTTCAAAAATATTAGTCTAGTTGAAACTATGAACAGAATACTAAAACTTATATGTTTCACTTTACATGTTTTTTTTACCATGTCCGAGATACTCTGGCTGCAATTTACAAAGTTTATATTTAGCTCATGCCTCATAGATAATAGAAGAAAATTATCTATGATTAATAGCTGTTTATATAGCACGATTTGAGATATACAGTATATCTTAAATCGTGTTATATAGGTACCTTTTTTGTGGCATGGGGATCAAAATATAGACCTATGGGCTATAGTTTTGACATGAACAGAATATCTTCATAGTTCATGGTTTATGGTTAGTACTCGTATTAGCCGTATTACAATAGTTAAGGTTAAACTACCGATTCGGCTCTCAAAGTCTCAAACACAGCATACAAGTACGGTGGCGAAGCAATCGAAGCATAGAGATTAGAGACTAGAGAGTCTGACACTTGAAAGTCCATAGAGCATACAGCATAGAGCTATTAGAGCTAGAGCCGCGGGGCATAGTCCGTTCATAGGCCATAGAGCCCATAGAAAATTGTTATCACTTAACACCAAATCTTATCAGTATCACAAAATATACATAACAATAATATTATCATAGAACAATTTATTATTCTAAATTAATTCTGAGGCAGTAAGCCAGTAACATGGGATATCACGAAATAATATTATTAATATTACAAATTTACATTTTAGTATTTAACAATTCATTTTAAAAATATTTAATTTAAATTACCAAAGTACCAAATAATATATTGTGTTATTAAAAAAAATATTTAATATAATAATAAAGATTAAATAGATTTTTGATATTTATTGATCATTGGTATGCATCTTTAGAATTTGTTCACTGAATCTGTCAGTCAGCAGTTATTTTTAAATTGAAAATGTAAAAGTTTAGATAAGCTAGATTTGTTCAACTTCTTTTATGTAATATTTTAAACAATATTTTGTGCTTAATTCTTATGAATAATTTCAAATTTGTTTGGTTTTGTTCTTTTCACTTTGTTAAATAGTAAATAACAATACCTACCGTGATCATGAATATCAGCAACCGCATTGTAGTTACTCCGCTGGGAGCTGGTCAGGATGTTGGACGTAGCTGCATCTTAATAACAATTGGTAATCGAAATATTATGCTCGATTGTGGAATGCATATGGGCTATCAAGATGAACGGAAATTCCCTGATTTCTCATATATTACATCTGATGGTAATATTACAGACATAATTGACTGTGTAATTATTTCACATTTTCATTTGGATCATTGTGGTGCACTGTCCTATTTAACTGAACACCTTGGTTATCATGGCCCTATATATATGACACATCCTACTAAAGCAATTGCTCCAATTCTATTAGAAGATATGCGTAAACATTTAGTTGAATATGAAGAAGAAGCAAAATATTTTACATCAAGTGCAATTAGGGATTGTATGAAGAAAGTAACCGCAGTGAATTTACATGAAGTTGTGACTGTTAAAGATGACATCGAACTAAAAGCATATTATGCAGGCCATGTATTGGGAGCTGCCATGTTTTATATTAAAGTTGGAAATGACTCTGTGGTATACACTGGTGATTTTTCAATGACCCCTGACCGGCATTTAGGAGCTGCTTGGATTGACAAATGTCGGCCTACATTACTTATAACAGAATCAACATATGCCACAACAATAAGGGATTCAAAGCGATGTAGGGAACGAGACTTTTTGAAAAATGTGCATGAATGTATAGATCGTGGTGGCAAAGTGTTAATACCAATTTTTGCATTGGGAAGAGCTCAAGAGTTATGTATTCTTATTGACACTTACTGGGATCGTATGGGTCTTAAAGTTCCTGTTTATTTCGCAGCAGGTTTAACTGAGAAAGCTAATAGTTATTACAAAATGTTTATAACTTGGACTAATCAAAAAGTCAGGCAAACATTTGTTCAACGGAACATGTTTGATTTCAAGCACATTAAACCATTCGATAAGACGTATATGCATAATCCCGGTCCTATGGTGGTATTTGCAACGCCTGGTATGTTACATGCTGGCTTATCGTTGAATATATTTAAAAAGTGGGCTCCCGATGAAAAAAATATGTTGATTGTACCAGGTTACTGTGTCTCTGGAACTGTTGGTAATAAAGTCTTGAGTGGTTCTAAAAAAATTGAAGCTGAACCAAACAAATTCATTGACGTTAAAATGTCAGTTGAATATTTATCATTTTCAGCTCATGCTGATGGTAAGGGTATCATACAACTAATAAAAAACTGTGAGCCTCAAAATGTGTTATTGGTTCATGGTGAAGAAGAAAAAATGAAATTTCTCAGAGCTAAAATAATGCAAGAATTTAACATAAATTGTTACATGCCTGCTAATGGAGAAACTGTAGAAATTGAAACAGCAAATATACATACATTCAATATGAGTACAAAACTAGTTAAAGAAATATTAGATGATCAATCAAATAATTTGGGAAATGGGAAACGCTTGGTACACGGAGCATTCCTTTTGAAAAATGGTTCTTCTAATTTAAATGCCATGAGTGTGAAAGACACTTTCAAAGAATTGGATATTCAACGACACACCTTAAGGTTTGTTCATGAATAATATATAATGTTGGATATGACTGACTAAATAGACTAAATAAATTAAACCTTTTTTTTTTTTGTGAGTATACATAAAATTAAGATTACAAATTATATGAAATATTTCATATAGTCTGTGTTAAGATAATTGAATTGATTTGATTTAAAAATCATACAATTAAAATTAGCAACTCTTCAAGTCTTAGCTTACTCAAACTATTTTATTATAATAATTAATGAAATAAACTGATAAATCTGTAATATTTAAACAATTTGAATAGCAATTTAGCTCAAACCATTTTTTTTGTTAAAATTATTGCTAATTAAATGGTTATTATTTTCAGATTTACTTGTACGGTGGAAATTAAAGAATCATCTACAATCCAAAAAACTAAAACTAAATTATTTGAAATGCTGGAAAATAATTTGCCAATTTTTAAAAACAAACTTACCATGTCTGATGGATCAATATCGTTAGCATCAATTTTAGTGACTGTAGAAGATAGTATGGATAATAATAAAAAGAAAATTGTAATTTCTTGGGCTAATGAAGATGAGCCATTGGGTAATCATGTGCTTGAAATGTTACAAAATACGAGCAGCAAGTCTGATTAATATAGATATTGTATTCCTTTTTGAATATTACAGTTCAAATAAAGCTGATTAAAAATAATCTTTAAATATATATTTTAATTTTTAACAATTTTACCAACATAAAATTAAAAATAAATAAATAATAGGCACCTAATAATATTTGTTCCAATATTTTATGTCCCATATATCATAGTAAAATAGTTTCTCACATTTTATTATCAGTTTTTAATGTTTCTATAGAAGTTTTCTGAACATCTATTCTAAAAATCTTCCTTACTAACAATGTTAATATCTTCATGTAATATTTCATTCTCTTTAAATATGTCTGTAATATTATGTTCCATCATTTTGTCTATTATTGGTGGAATTCTTTGTTCAATTTTTTCTTGCACATCAACTTTATCTAAAAAGTCTTGTATTCTTTTCTTAATAGGAAGTTCCATTGCATCAACTATTTTATTCCTTAAAATATTTGGAAATATATTGACAAGTGCCTCAGCTAAATAATCAAGTGTACCTGCTCCATCCATACGTAATTGAATATTTCCCACTGATAAACCAAACTCATTTAAAAATGGTGCTAATCTCGTGTCCATTGGCTGAGTTACATTGGCCTCAAGCTGTATATAATCAATTGAAAAACTTAAAACACCTGTGGTTTTTAGTACACCTGCTGCTCCAATTTTCCACTGACAATGACCTTTTAGTTCCTGAGTTCCTATATGTATGACTGATATAATTGTTTGATTCTGTATACTTATGTGAATATCTCCTAACCTATATATACTCGATAGTCCCGATATCCATATTTCGTTGACATCCAAACTAAATATATTGAAATTTACTGCATTTACTAAGTCGTCTACACGCCATGGATCAAATCCCATTGACTTTATTTGTTGACGACTCTCAGCTATCAGCAAATCCACAGGTGGTATTGTGTTTGGAAAACGTTTAAAGTGCTTCATTTTTTGATTAAGTTCTTCTTTTATCATAACGTTAATCAGTTTCATAATGATAGGCTTAATAGTTTGAACAACAAAATGGGTAAAACTATTAACAAAACTGTCATAAAATGGTATATTTAACTTATCTGTATCCATATGCAAACTATCATAGTTCATATTCATATTTAAATTATTAGTCTCCAGGTGTCCTGATTCACTTACTTGTAAGCTCAAGTGACCGTCAATATGCAATTGTATGAGTGTTACATTGTAATATCCATCATACATTTTCCAATAAGAATAATTGCCTACTACCACTAATGTATCAATTGATATTCCAAATTCTAACTATAAAATAATATATAATTTAAAAGAATTAAACGACCAAATAATATTTTTTAGGTAATTTATAATTGTACAAACCTGTAAATCAACCAAATTTACGTATAATTTTTTTAGTCTGAATTTTGAATGACCTTTCATTGTTGAGTTGTGCATACTCCACAAAGGTGTTTCATTATCAGGTATAGGTTCAGGGTCTGAGTATGGTGGTACTATTGCTTCTGGTAATCCTACAGGGTCTGGGTTTTGGTAATGTTCTAGAACATTTTTTGTCAACAATGTCAAATTTATTATTCGTTCATCAGCTTCTGACAGTGATGGTACGTCATCATCAAATGCATAGACTTAAAAAAATAAATTATTAGACATTTACAACAGGGCAGAAAAACAATGCAGATACTATAATAATAATTAGAGAATAGATATTATTGTTATAAGTTATAACAAATCCAATACATGTAAATAAGTACCTATTTTTCTTAAATTATGTAATTTCATTTAACTGCAGATTTTTCTACAATGCTAAGACTTTTTCAAGTTATAGGTTTATAATTATATAATTACCAGCTTAATCAAAAAACAAAAATTTCCAGAAATATATACCAATTTGATTTTTAAATTTACATTTGGCATCTGCTTTAAAACTAGCTGTGGCAAGTTTAGTATCAACATTTTTAATTAACATATTTTAGTTTGAAAAAATAATTGCAATAATATTTGAATGATTTCTTGCCATACTCCATAATTTACAATAGTTTCAGGAAATAAATTAAGATTAAGAATCAGTATGTATTTCTTTAAATTTTGAAACATGACTGTGCTGAAATTCAGATTATTACATCTTATTATTTCTGAAACATGATAAGAATAAACCGTATGCTACATGCTAAATGTAGTAAATTTGAAAAAAAATCAGTTAAATTTCTACCAGGCACTAGCTTTAACAAATGCTTCTATCAAGTATAAAAATAAATGTCTATATTTTACACTTTTAGTTATAATAAGTTCATAATAGTAATTCTTAGTAGTAGTTTTATGATAGCATTATTCTCACTGCAAGTAATTTCTATAAACTAGTATCAATATAATATGAAATGCCATAAAAATGTAATTAATTTGTATAAAATATATATTAATTGGTAAAATATGTAAAATATTAAGTAAAATTGGTATTATATCAATTTTAATGATCTAAATCGTACACATTATTACCAGATTAAAAATATAATCTCATTACACTAAATTCCATAGCCTAATTGTAATTAATATTGCTGTACTTACATTGACATAGGCATTTGGTATTTAGCATGAAAATAATTACTAAAATAATATTTGTTTTCATTTTTTATAGTGATTTATGTTTTACAATTTTACATATTATATTTGTATACAGAAAATAATGTTTCTAGGTTAATAAATTGTTTTACATTAAATTATTATGTACATTTACCAATTACCTTTGACCCAAAGTTAATGTATATTTATCATTTCAATCAACTATGTATTTGATAAACATAATATGAGCTACAATCATCTAAATATTTAAATGTATTGTTTGCATAAAATTTAAGTAATATTCTTAAATTCCTTGTGAGATCATTTTATTAAGAAATATTGATTTATATATTATATGTGTTGCTAAAACCTAGACATTCAAACAAAACAATTTATATTACATAACTTTAGATCTTGAACTTATTTTATGTTTACTACACAATAATATTGTGTATTAAACATTTTACTATTGACCAATAAAAACCAATATTATGAATCAGAAATAGGTAACAGATTGATTAATATGTAAACAATAAGACTTTGGCCTTTGAACTATGATACATTATCTATCATTTTTAAAAATTTAAATGACTAAACCATTTACTTTTCTATAAGCTATAACTTTTTAGGTACGAAGGTATATTTTTATCTAAATTAAAAATGGTTCTTTTTATAACCTGTATCATGTAAACAATTTTAAATTATCTACATTGGTAACTGTAGTTTGTCAGATGGTTGAGTTATCTCAACCACACACCCACACTGAAGTTTATATTTTTAATAAAAAAATATGATAATTATTAATTTACAGTCTATAATAGACTGTGGCCTGTGCAATATATAAAATTAAAAACAATGAATAAATTTGGTGTGTGATTATAAATAACTGGATGTCAGACACTACTTCAGCGTAATTGGGTTAGATTTTATTAGTATTATTATTGATTATAAATACTAGTATTTATAATAAATGGTATTATTCATATACAGTATGTCCCAAAAGTCCTGTATCACCCTTAATATCTCCATGTAAAATCACTATATTTAAACGCGGTTTTTTTTACAGTACTAAGTATGAAAATTCTGATTGAATGGCATAAAATTAATTTATTTTTTTCCTTAAATTCAAAAATTTTCAAAAAAATTTTTTACGCATTTAAGAATTTAAAATTTTTAAGATAGCCATTTTGTTGAGCATATTTTTTAAAACAGTTCAAAAAAAAAAATACTAAAATTAAATAAAAATTGACCAAGTTAGAGCAAGTTATGTTTTTAAATAATTGTAGTAAAAAAATAAATTAGGAATGTAAAAGTATGGTCGTGTGCTGAAATTAGATATTTCATTATTGAAATGTGAAACAATAATTTATTTTTTTACTACAATTATTCAAAAACATAACTTGCTCTAACTTGGTCAATTTTTATTTAATTTTAGTATTTTTTTTTTTGAACTGTTTTAAAAAATATGCTCAACAAAATGGCTACCTTAAAAATTTTAAATTCTTAAATGCGTAAAAAATTTTTTTGAAAATTTTTGAATTTAAGGAAAAAAATAAATGAATTTTATGCCATTCAATCAGAATTTTCATACTTAGTACTGTAAAAAAAAACCGCGTTTAAATATAATGATTTAACATGGAGATATTAAGGGTGATACGTGAGTTTTGGGATATACTGTATATTTTTAATTATTTAGGCCTTGTCACCAACTCCATTTTAAGCGACCAGGAAGGTTATCCACGAGAACAATAAAGGAAATATTAGATATTAGTGAATTGAGGATCTAATATTAAAATTCAATTTTACACAGTGAATGTAATTAAGACTCCGTATGCCATTGCCGGGTTAATTGTTTGTAAAAAACAAATTTACTGTAAAGAAAAATTTCTGAATAGAGAAAATTATGTCTTCAAGTTAGGGAGTTTAAATTTGAGAGAAATTTTTTAAAGTTTTATGTAGGTAGCCCAAGTTATTTATCAAAATGCTTGCTTAAAATGTATTCAACAAAGTTTTCTATAGAGATTGTTTTCTTATTCAATTTTACTGGAGGACTGTTGTTTTTGGAAAGTAATGTGATGTCTGTTAATTTTTTTTTTATTCTCCATTGGTAGGTACACATTTCAATGAGCATGTAAAAAACCTGTAAAATAATGTACTTGAAGTATGAGATTACAGGCTCTGTAATCTGATTATATTTTAACCATATTTTATAAGTATCAAATATCAATTGTCAATGAAACAAATTTTTTTTACCAGCTTGAATCTTAATCACCAATAAAAACGTATTATATTGAATATAGAAAATTACATAAGAAGATATTTAATCTCCGATGATTGTTTAATAATCAGAAAATATAAATTATATTTAATTTGAATAGTAAAACATAATGTGTAAACAATTATTTGGACGTATTACAGAGTATGATCACTTGTCAGTGAGTACAGTTAAAAAATTATTTATAAAATATACAATTATTATAAAAGTAAAAAAACTAAATTTTTTTAAGACATTGTATGGTTACTATTACATGCTAATTATAATTCTCAAAATCATACATATTAATTATAATTTTAATGTTTACAGTAAAATTTCTTATTTAATAAAAACAATAATAAATTAACATTGACTTTGGCTGTGCCAAAAATATCCATTATTGTCGCTCCTTCAAATTGACGTTTTAACAAATCCTTTAATTAATAAAATATATTATTTATTAATGATTAATACAAGGTTTTCAAAAATTAATATAAATATTATTATACAATAGAGTTTGGAACTTCTTGCATTAGCATGAAGATAAAACTTTAAATTTTGTATTGTAAAATGAAAAATGAAAATAATTAAATTAAATTACTATGCAGATTATAATATCATATATTATGAAAAGTAAATATTTGAACATTTGTTGGCATATTATTGGGGCATTTTGTGCATTTTTACAAATAAAATATTGTGTTTGGATAATAATTGGAATTTATTTGAAAATGTCCCAAAATAAATTATTTTTACTTAAGAAGTATGTTTATTGATTAATAACTGACATCGCTATCGACAATAAATTGTACAATTATAAACTCAGACGTCTATACCCCGAGCCACGAGAGAAGGAACCAGTTTCGTGCATGCAGACTGTAGGCATTTCCCCACTTTGTGCAATTTAGTGTTTGTCAAATATGTGGCAATGATCGGAATCGAACGTGTTTCGGTCGAGACACGAGTCTCTAGTGGGGCGGAGTATAGTTCTATATTGTATAAAAATTTGTATCAGCCATCATTAAATTGTATCAGCCTAGAACTAGAAACTACTCATTTATATTTACATATTAACATGATTTTTTTTTTAAAAATGATTAAAATATGAAATAACAGTTTTTAATCAATAAATATCTGAGTTAGGTTATGTTCAGCAACTATTAATTTATAAATTGTCAATTATTTTTGACGTTTTAACAAGTTTATATAGGTACATATTTTTAGGATTTTTAGTGCAATATGTCCCAAACCCTAATAAATAAAGGCACAATGTAGAGAAGAGAAGGTGATAACACTCGGCTTGGCCAGGAGAAAAATAGTGGCTTAGTTCTCGACGGCAAATTTGTAGTTTAAATAATTTCCACTGGGAGCACCACAAGCTTTGAAGGCCGGGTATTTGAATAATTGCATTAGACACTATATATTTTGGATACATGTGTATTGTGTTTTATTGCAATGAATAAATGAATAAATATTGTATTTATGATGGAAAATAACTGTGTGTACCTACATTCATTTATTGGTACTTTAATAAGATAATTTTAACGAATGGTATTCATATTGCAAATCATTTATTGCCTTATGAAATACCTACTTTGATTAATATGTAAATAATAGTTATTTTATTAATTATAGTTAATCTTACATCAAGATAAAAGTTATAAAAATATTGTTTATTACCTACCTAATAATTATCATATTAAATTATAATATTTAAATTTAAATTATTAGTATCAGTATCTTGAAAATTACTTAAAATGATTTTATGTACAAATGATTTATCAAAGTGTATAAATTATTAGTAGATACCAAATAATAATATATTATTGTGGAGTAATGCTATTAAGTAATTACCTACTTAAAATTTATAAAAAATCATGAACATTTTTTTTTGTCTATAATATAGTCACAGTACCTTTGGTGCTCTAAACAATGAAATATTTTTCGCTTCACTTCCACTAGCGTATCCTGTCTTACAGCCTGGTACATATAGCATTTTTTGGACATTTTTAATTATTTAATTTACATATTAAAGTTTTAAAATTATATTTTAAAACTTTATATAATATTTATTGTTCGGTAACTCAACAGTCAATAGTAGACATTTAAATGGACAGTCATAGTTCTTACAATAGTTCTAATAAATTTGGAACAATATTGGGAAGGGATTTATATTTCAAATACTACTTGTTATGACTGGAATTCTACCTATATAATATGTTTATTTTATTGAATTTGTGACTGTATTAATTATACTATACATTTTTATTTATATCAACTTGCTAAATGATATAAGCATGTTTCATATGAATTATGAAATTTGACCAATATTATACATTAGTTGGTCTATATTTAATGCACCGTAATAGCAAATAATTAATATAACCGGCCATTGAGTAATGTGGCGGCGCCTAGCAGTATTTATGTTAACTAAATTTGTGCCGTCAAAAATTGTGCCACTTTTTTGAGGAGTGTTATCACCTTCTCTTCTCTACATCGTGGATAAAGGACTATTTAATAACATGGTGTTGAACTATAGCATTAGTATAATTTTATTTCATGCTATATTATAAGTTATTTACCTGTATATCTATATTGATAGTTTCCATTTCTACTCCCATAAATTTTCCTTTGACTAAAAATACACCATGCACATCAGTTGGGCAGATTTCAAATTGAGCGTTTTTAAACTGCCCATCTGGAAGTCCTTCTACTTCGATTAGTACTCCCTTCTCTCGTAATTTTGCTGCTGTATATCGAATACTTTTCTTAGACTTCAGCTGTGTACCTCTATTAGATGATTTTTTCTGTTTTCTGAAGATATACATTTTAAAATTAATAAGCCATTCTATTTAAATGTAATAATTATTTTAAAGCTATATTTACTTTTGGCCGGTGTTATGTTTATCCAAGCAAGTTTGTATGTACTGTTCATATGATTTAATTTTTTCAACTAAATATTTAATTTTTTCATCCAATCTCTGTTTGGTGGATTTAAACATTTGCAATTCCTGAGATTCAATATTTAAAATGTATTTATTCATAGTAACAACTAACATATTATAACTTCATCCAAACCTTAATTTGTATTTGACGATATTTATTTCGGTTACAAATGTCTTTAGCCACTGATGTAATTATACCTTGGTATCCATCATCTTTTGACACAATGCCTTCTTCTTCTAAGACTTTCAAATGTTTTCTTAATTTTGCTTTAATTTCTTTTAATGTTCCCCTATACATATTGCAATGGTTACAATTAAAAAAATATAATACCATTCTAAAATTGTATTCTCATATGTGGAGTGAAGTGAAGAAAACTGAAAAGTAAGGGTTTACTTAAGAAAGCGAGAAAAAGCACAAAATTATCATTAAAGATGACAAAAAAATTAAAGATCTCTGGATTACCTATAGGCAATTGTCAGTGTCCAATGGAGCTTATTCACCTTAGTAAACCTTTTCAATTAGTAAAAAAAAACAACAATATACAAACTATGTGATACTAGCACCATGAAAAGTGATGGAAAATGCTTAGGAAAATCAAGGGCCCAACTAGTAAAACCAGTATAAAACAATAAAGTACAGAAGTAGAAAATATAATTGAATTCAAAGTTAAATGAGCTCTAGTAAAAAACAATGTGGTTCAATTACTTAGAGGATGGGATAAGATTGGAATAGGCCAGCATGTATGACGAGCGAACAGTAAACTATTATTTAAAACAGTTATGAATGGAGAGATGAACTTGAGATGGAAAGTGTCAAGAATCAAAATATATAACTAACAGTCTGGGAAGGTAGATGGAACGAAGTTTATGAGTTATGATAGAGAAAAATAGGAAAACTTGGTTTAGGCAGTGAAGAAACTAAATTAACTTGTAAAAGCTAAAATAAAAAAAGATACATTTTGAAATTAGAACATCTAGTTCCAGAGATTATGGGAAATTAAGTCTTCCAAATAAAAAACATCCTTCTATTTGCTATGTGAAAATACTTTAAATAGTTGACAGGGTTAAAACCATTTTTTTTATGCACCTCAAACTGGATTATTTAATCCAACATAAAATTGTACAATACCATTTCTACAGATATTAAAAGTCAGCTTTCAATAAATATCACATACTCTTCAAACTCTGCAGCCTTTCCAGAAGCTCTTATTTTGTTTTCTCGGTCAGAAAATCGACTTTCTTCATCTAGTGTTGAATCAATTCTTAAAGACCCTGGTAATGTGTGTCCACTTAAATATGGAAGAACTCTAATCAATAACTCCTTCGTCCTAACATAAAATATTAAAATTAATTTGTATGTACCAAAAAATATTTACATTTTACAAACTATAGTACACATACTTAATGAATAATTTAGTCACAGAAGCTGTTTTTGTGTTAGGCTCAAATTTATCAGATAACGTTAGACAAACTTGAACTGTAGCAATTCGTCTTTGAACAATAACATCATCGTCATCAGCTATAAACAAATTGAAATAAGTTACAATGAAACACAAAAAAAAAAAAAATTATTATTATTTTTGCTAACATCCATAAAGCTGTGAAATTGTTGGGGCAGAAGGTCCCAATTCATCGAGTAATTGATGAATTGGATCATTAGGATCAGGTGCGACTTGATCAATATTATCTAGCAATAAAGAATGAGTTTCTTGGATTTCCTAAACAAACAATAAACACTATTATTATTATCATATTATTTGATTTTTCTTATAATGAATATAATGCAATATACCTGTAATGTTATGTTTATTGTTGGTTTAGTAAGAAGTGTTACGTCTGTGAATTCATTTATGTTATAATACACTTCTGGATCATCAACATTAGTACAATTGTTGAAGAAAAGTTTTAATTTTGTGTAACAGTCAAGTATAAATGGATTCATACATTTTAAATGGATTTCATCTTTGTACTAAAAATATAAATAAATATAAATACTGAAAAAAGAAAAAATATAATATTTTACTCCTTTTTTATTTGATGCATATTGCAGGATTTTAGCAACACTAGCTAAATTATGTCGTTGACGATAACTTATTCCATCTTCAATTTTAGTTTCAAATATATCATAAATTTCAGGTGTTATGATAACTGGATTCATGTATAAGTTATAGACAAAGTAGCCAATTATCTACAAAAATAAATATTATATGATTTAATTTATAATTTATTATGTTACTTGCAATTTAATAACATGATATTATGCCACTTACTTTATAAACCTCACTTTCACGAGTATCGGGAAACAATTCATGTATGGTTTCACATAATATCCGAGCTGTGTATAATATGGCATATGGTATTAAAGGTTTGGAATCTAGAATTTTGTTTAAAAATTTTTCGGTTATGTTTTGTAGCTGTTCCAAATTATGAGTTAACCTTTTTTGAACTTCTTCATATTTTAATGCAGTATGTTGATCTACAGAGCTAGGTAGATCTCTATTAATAAAAAGATTAATATTTTTATTTTATAATGAAATAAGTAAGTACTAAGTAAGAATACTATAATATAGTATGGGCAATTCTTACGATATCTCTCCTGTGTTGGTCTCTATTTCATTACGCCAAGTCCTATAAATTGTAACTGGATTTGTGTCGATAAATAGATTATTTCTATGGTGTATCAGCTAAACAATCACAAATATATGTTATACTTTAAGTAATTATTATTACTACATAATTTGTTTATAAGATTTGATAACTGTATTTAAAAATTAATAAATTAGCTAATTGTGAATTTAATTCAAGGCGGTAAAATAGTTCAACAAGTTACATGCAATACCTCCATTGTTTTGTAATTTTACTTTTAAGGTGTTATTAATATATAACTTCTTAATTGAGTATGAAACTTTTAAATTCTGAGATTTAGATGAATGTATTGATTTTACAGTGACGTATTGTCTACACTCTACACGGTAAGTAGTCGAAATAATTCTTTGATTTTCAACTTCAGTACCTATCTTGTTCGATGGGAAAGTGAATCTAGTTAATGCATTGGGGAGGTCGAAATTTGAAATTCTCAGTAATTTTTAAAAGCGCCAAGAAAAAGTAAACAAAAATCAAGGAAGTTTTTGGCAAAAAATATTTTAGACAAAATAAATTTTGGTTTTTGGTGTAATTCTAAAACAAATCACTGTAGATACATGAAATTTTTACTGGTTGTTTATATTAGCCTTTTCTTTAACTGTTAATGGACATTTTCAGTTTCCAATATTTTTAGTTTTTTTTTCTATGAATGTCAATAAAATTTTATTTGTTGGTAAAAAAAGCTTGAAAAATTTAATATGAGGCTCTTAATTCATTGTAACTATAATAGTTTAAAAATATTAAAAATACAGCCACAATTTTTTTTATAAGCATTTATGGTTCATATCTTGAGAAAATATGTAAAAATCAAGAAAATGTGCAAATTATTTAGTGTTAGAAATACATAAAAATTTTCTTTTTAAATCTAAGATTTGAAAATGTAATAGAAGATTCCTCATCACCAATTTTTACAACATTGGATATTTACTCGAATTTTCATTTAGCGATTTTCTTATTTTGTTCCAAAAACGAACAACTGTAAATACATGACAATTTAACTGAATGTTTATATATTATATTTACAGTTTCTTTACAATATAAAATTTGGAAAATATTTTGACTTGTTTCGAGCTGTTTATGGACATTTCCAGTTTTCGATTTTTTAATATTATTTGTTAGGTAAAAAACATTAAAAATTTAATACAATGCTCCTGATATGTTGTTACTATAGCAGTTAAAAAATACATAGGCACAATTTTTTTTTATAAGCATTTAAAATTCGAATTTTGACAAAATTTATCAAATTAAAAATTATTTTTAAGTTAAAAATGTATAAAGTGTTTTACTTTTATAGCTAAGGATTGAAAATTTAAAACAAGGTTCCACGTAAATAGGCTGACTGACCGTTTTTCTTATATATACAATGATATTATATCATTGAATTAAAATTTAACACCATTCATAACAGTGACCCACTTGTAACCTACTGTACAGCAGAGCGACACCCAATTTCACACTTTTTTAAATTATATTTATTAATTAGACTAAATTAAAAACATACCTTTTCAACTACTGTTCTAAAGATTGTATTTAAACGTTTTTGATTATCAAAACATCTTGCCTGGTCCACAATTGCTTTTAATATATATAGATTCGAAGTTTTAATTTCCGCTGCTTTAGTACAATTAATTTTAATTTCTTCTTTTAAAGCTAATGTTAATAGCTTTAACATAAAATAAGCATCACGACTATTACTTCCAGCATTAAAAACTGACATAAGAGTTTGTTCTAAAAATCTGAAATAAATTTATAAAATATTCTTTAACATAGAAAAATAACATTGAAATTTAATGTAGTTAATACTTACTTAGAAATGTGACGAACTGAATATGGCAAACAGAATATAAGTTTAGTTAAATAGTATGGTTTTGTTTGAAGCATATAAAACAAATGCTGATAACATTCCAATAGATGTTTACTATTCTTATTTAAAGACATTAAACTAATAGAATTTTGCATATTATTTGGTTGTTGTATTTTATAAATGTCTTCATTAGTTTTCATTTTATGATTAATGACATCCTAGACAGCAAAAAAAAAAACATTTAATATTAATATTGTTCATTATATTTAAACATTTTTTTTTTTTTGTTCATATGTTTTTTATTCAATCTGTTACATAATAAAAGAACAATAAGAACAATTGATGGTTTATAGCAGCGGTTCCCAACCTTGGGTCGCGACCCAAATTAAGCTCGGGGAGGTTTTTATGATGGGTTGCGAAAACATTACTTACATATTCATTTTAGTTATTCATTTCATTTTCAAGAAAAACAATTCTAGAAATATTCTAATAATAAAATAATTTTAAATAGGTTTTAATATAAAAAATATGTATGGGATGTGCGGAGTCGTACCTTCATAGCGTAGTATAGGTATATACTTTCTATTTTATTTCATAGTATTATTTCCCGAAATTCCACGGCGCACCTCGATGCGTCCTTATCGTAGTTTTGGTATAGGTACGCATATTAGTATTTATGTGTTATTCTTGTATTAAATATTTATTAATTTTGTGCACAACTAAAAGATAAATGAATTTTAACTAGAGAATCTGATAATGCATTATTAATTATTACCATTTCCAACCACATACTTATATGAAGTCGGGTTTTCTGCTTTAGTTGTCATTAAAAACAAAGTATAGAAATCGTCTTGATGCCAACCACGATATGCATGTACCCTTTCAATAAATATACGTCCTAACATTGAAGAACTTGTGGAAAGTTTTCAGCATCAAGGAAGTCATTAAATATATATTAATTACATGTTGAATTTTAAACAATTCATAAAATCATTTTTATGATATTGTATACTGAACAGTTTTTAATTTATTTTTTTTTTTATATTATTAAATAAAATATGTGTTAGCAATTATGATTTTTTTTCTTTGGGACGCCAAAAGTTAAATTTAAAATGTTAGGGTCACGCTCATAAAAGGTTGGGGACCACTGGTTTATAGGTTAAAATAAATAAAAATAAAAAGGCAAATTAGACAGACTGTAGAGGCCTCCAGCAGAGGTACTACGACATAAGTAAAACAATAAACATAATTTATTATTTGTTATTACCATATATTACCTGTAATGATATTCTATTTTGAATAAGTAAACCTATTTTCGTATCCAACTCATCAGCTTCAAGAGACATTTTGTTGCTCTGTCGTATAAGTTGAGTAATTTGCCCGCGGAGATTCTATACAATTAATAAAAGTACATTAAGTTATACAATTGATTTTTTGATATTTAAAATATGCCATCTAAAACCTACTTGTAATTCTAATTCCCGATGATAATCTTCCAAATTAAAATTAAGTAAACGAGCAAAATGCTTAACAATCTTATATGGAGGATTTGCTGTATGAAATAAATGATAAAAATGTTTGCGAACCATTTTACCTCGCCAAGCTGCTTGTAACTTTATTATATATTTTAACTAGAATACATACAAAAATGTATTTTTAAATATATCATAGACTATAATAAAGAAATTTTGGTTTTACTAACATCACTTCTAGTATAAACCCGTTGAAAAGGTTTCAATTGCTTCCTAACATTTTTTAACAAAGCTGTCCATTGTCTTCGGAATAAAATACATCGCCACCATTTCTAAAACGAATAATCGATTTAATTGTAAACATGTATGAATAGAATTTAGAAATAATAGTACCAACTAACTTGTATTTTTATAGCATATAATTCGTGTCTATAACACAACTTATTCTTGTTTTTTATTTCTCGTCTTACTAGATACCCACGAATATTAGCTTGAAGTTGAATAATCATCTTATTTATTTCTTCAGACTCTTTTCGATGCTGATAACTTTTTTTCATATTCATTATTGTAGTCTATAGATGCATATATTAAAATAAAATTACAATACAAAATATTCAATTTATTTAGATTTTAACTTACTTGTATTTCTTCCATATTTAAATACTTCGGGGTAGGAAAAAAATTTGGTTTCTCCCACGAGTAATCCAAAGTTTCAAGATTTAAATAAATACATCGACCATACGGTGTTTGGTGTGTAACCCAAGGGCCTTGGTATTTTGACTAAAATATTATATTAAAACATTTAATAATCAGTGAAATCTTAAATATTAATCTTACATAATAACTTAATTTAATTTAGCAACAAAAGGAACTTTTTTAAAATTATTTATATCAATCATCTATTGAAATGGTATTTTCTGTACACATTCAAAGTTATAAGTTTAAATTTTAAAACAAATCCTACCTTTGACTCGAGCAAATGTAATAATGAAACACAAATTTCTTGTTGTTCGATTTCAATCATTGGAACAAGTTTAAGAAACTCTTGAGCTAATTTAGTTTTTTCATTCTTAACCAATGATAAATTCACAGATAAAAGCCATTCAGCACCTAAATTAATATATATGTGTTTAACAGAGATTGATAAAATTAAATCTTAAGACTCACTTCTATGGATACTTTCAACTTCATCACATACTCTTTTTAAGACATCTTCGACATCATCTTTCCATACTTCAACTTCGTCCTCAGAGTCATTTCTACGATTCTAAATATTAAAAATATGAACAGTTACAGTTAGAATCAATGGCAAAGCCACAACTTTTTTGGGAGGGGGGCTCATTATTTGCTACCTCTACACTTTCACAGAGGCATAACGGATAAAAGCAAACACTAGAGTGTTATCAGTCCATTTGTCATACACATCACATTTCACATTGTAGGCACTCTGTTCCGTGGTAGTTTTTTGGTCAAAGTTAAAAAACACAAGGCAAGAGGCAATAAGAGTGTAGAAGTAGTATTATAGTATGATTCCTTATAAGTTGTGTTGGCTAATGCTGTGGGTACATAATACTTTACATTTTTGTAGCTCCTTCATATATTTTACAATTTTAATAAATAGTTACATTTCCCCTAATATTATGTCTTTATAACACTGAATAGATTTTACAATTTAAAGCGAGTGCTATTGCCCTCTCACCCTTTCCATCTACAAAGCCATATTACCGAGTGGTATAATTAATAAAGTGTGAATATTGAATATAATATATAGTATTACATATTAACATAACATATTAAAATATTTATTTGTACCAGTAATAATTCATATGCATACTGCATATCTTTAGCTTTAATTGGGTATTCTTCTAATTGCAGTACTGGATTTGTGATACATTGCTTCACTGTGTTAAAATCTTTCCATTTTAAGGCATTGTTAAGTTGTTGTAGAACATTAATAACTGAAAGCATAAAACACTAAATAGATTAGAAAATTATATTATTTTTATTAATCATATTATTAACCGTATTAATCGTACCTTCTTTGTTTTGTTCAAGTTGATTATGAACAATATTCACACAATCTTTAATATTCATAAATGACAATATTCCAAAGCATCCTTTATTTATAATTTTAAATCGTCTACATGCATCAAAGGCACTCCAGTATTGTAATTTTAATCCTGCATCAAGTTCTTGATCCTACAAAATTAATATATTCATTTAAATTGATATTAAGATTTACTTCATCAAATTTTACTGGAAAAAATTTCTTTAATTTTGCAAGTCGATCCCATGTTGAATCAATATTTTCTGAAAGAACAGCTTTTGTTACATCAGCTATTAGATTTAAAACCTGCAAACTCTGTACAATATCATTGTAACTTAGGCTTTGCTGTAAAAAATTGAATAATGGTAAAAATTATTTTTATTTTTAAATTAATTTGAATATGATGTGAATATTGTAAAAAAATGAATTATAAAATGTAATATATCAAATTTCTTATTCCACAATAAATGTTATTTTACAAGAAAATCTGATATATTAATATATAGTCCAAGTCTGAATAAAAATAAAATAGTACTAGAAGCATAATCTTACATCTATATCACATCGATCAATCTTCAGTTCTTCAAAGTACAAAGGAACAGCAAATTCATTAATAAGATGATTCAAGTTTAGTATAGGATCTTTAAGAACACGCGTAAAACCATCCATATCATCAATAATTAATGTATCATTTAATTTTTTTACAGCAGATTCCTCTGAAAAATGTATTTTTATATTATTGTATTACATTTTTGTTTTTTGTACAATATCTTACGTTTGATGTGGTTATACGCCAATTGATTTCCCGTATTAACAACACGTTGAAGAAAACATTTTTTATCAATTGTATTCAAAACTGTATAATTAGCGGTTTTTGATACATTTTGAAATTCTGATTTATAGTATTTACCATTTTGCTTTTGCACATCCTAAAATAAAATAATATTTAATATGCAGACAAATACACCAAAAATAATATATAGAAGTATATAAATTACTGTTAAAGGTAAGTATTTTGATTTTAATATATTGACAACTTCATCTTCACAATTTGCTTTACTCATTTCATTCCACTTTTGGTCAACTGCAATAAATTAAAAATGTATTATCTATACACAATAAATTGAAAGTTCCTTACTATTTGTGGATGAAATATAACCCTGTATTTCATTTTGAGTTAAAATGTCATCATATGTGTCTGGTTCAAAACTTTCACTCAATGACTAAAAAACATTAAAATTTATAAATTAATTTTTTGTGTGAAAAACTGGATTTCTTTTATTAATATTATAAATTATAATTATCTGTTTCCCATACAAGAATTAATAAATTAATGATCTCTGAGACTTTTAAATTTAAATATATTACCTTATTCAAAGTAGATTCTTCTTTTGAATATTTAACATTACGTAAAACAGCTAAATATTTATCTATATAATCCAAATTAATAAAATGTAGTTTTGCTGCTTTGTTACATAGGCATTTTGTGAAATAATTCATATCCTAAAATATTAATATACAATATATAATAACAAAATAAATATGAAAAAATAATAGTAATTTACAAACCTTGGATAAAATGGCATTATTTATTTCCATAATTGCTTCTTGTAATGTTAATGTGTCTCCCTTTGTATCTTCTGATAATAGTCCTGCAATTTTTTGGAACTTAGGAAGTTCTATACCATTTTCTGCCAATTCCTTTCTGGTAGCAGTGATTGTTTCAGCTGAAATATAAAAACAAAAATACCAAATTTAATTTTTCGATTAATAAACAGTTTTAATTCATTTTTTATTACCTGAAAAATCGACTTTTCCATATAAATCTTGAATTAATGGTGCTTGACCTCGTTTGAATAAATGGGTGCTTAGAGCATGAAGACAATAAATAACTTTTGGCATATTTTTCTTATCATAAACATCAGTGGTCTCGGGATGGAATATCTAAAAGTTAAAACAAACTTGTTAATACATTTCTTTTATCAATATCTTAAGTTTACCTTTGGTAGATTAACAATATTTAAAGATTTTAACCAATAATTTATGTTATCTGTATGGCGATACTGAAGACCTACAGTCTTATAACGTCTTTCATCGCGGTCATAAATACAAGATATTGGTACAGTTGAAGGAGCAATGAAATTTCCTAGCTTTGCTAGCAAAACACCATTTCGTAAATGATCTTCAAGTTCGGTTACAGGTGGTAAAGTGATTTTTAAACACGACTCTAGCCATCTAGAATAATTATTTATGAATACATTTTAATTGTATAACATTAGAAATTGCTTAAATACTTAAATAAAAACATACACTTTTGTTTCTTCTAAATGACATAAGTATTCATAAGCCAAATTATCTTGTCTTATTATATCCACTTCAATAAGACTTGGATTTAAAATTTCCTGTGGTTTGTTACTATAAAATAAAACCATGCATGTGAATAACAAAAAACATAAGATTTAAATTTAATTTAAATCAAAAAATTTACCTGGAAAGAGATATTGACATTTTAGCGTTGATTTGTAAAAAAACTGATATCTAATTAAAATTTAAAGATAATTAAATAATAAGTTATACCAAGTGCCATGTTTTAATTAAGTATACGAAAGGCAACAAGTTTTAAAATAGTGAATAAATAAACTTATGAACACAAACAAAATTAACAAAAGAACATAAACATTTTAAAAAAATCAAGTCAGTGGTCAAATGTCAATACATTCATTCATAGACAAGAATACATCCATTATCTCCTTTTTCTATGAAGACATCAACGTTTTGTCGACTGTCAATAAATTGTTGAATTGTCAAGTTTAGTAGACATACTCAAATGTTAAACTTTTAACGGTAATCGAAAATTGAATTAAAAAACATTCTTATCAAGGAACCATTACATTATCATTTCCGTTGGGAATCATTCAGGAATCAGGAAACAGTCTTCCAACTTTAACTAACCGTGGTTATGAACAATAACTTAACAATATCAATTTGTATTGATTGGAGTCATAGACCTTTTACTTAAAAGGTCTATGATTGGAGTTGACATTTCAACTCAATGGAAACACGGATGTAATAAAACGTATTACGTAATAATAATATTATGTACGTTTTACATTTTAATTTGTGTTTCAAAGAACATTCAACGAAACCGGTAACCTTACCACCAACTTACGACCAAGTACAATATTGTTCCATAGTACCAGTAATATTGCAACGTTATGTTGGTCACATCTAAATAAGACGGTGCTTGCAGACGTAAAGACGTTAAAAATTGAAATGTCAAGTAACGTAGTGGGGAGAAAATCCGTTAAATAATTTAATTTTTACGATATTGTTCGTCTTGTTCGTTTCTGTGTCTCACACTCACTGGATTTCTGAAATCATTTAACTTTTTCGTTTTTTTTTTGTCATTATTTTCCCGTAGTAAGCTAATAACGGCTATATTGTCGTCTAATTTTTTCTATTCTATTTTTGTAAACGTTGTTCGGTTTTCCAAGACTATTTTTGTTAAACTGTGTCTACAATATTACGGTACACGTTTATAAATTGTTGATTTTTATTTTCGAGTTCTTGTTTTGGTTAAATCACAAAGTAGTTTTAATTGTTAAATACTGCTTTGGAATAGCGGCCGTACACCTTCAACATCGTTATTATCTATTGAAAAATGGCGACAGGCATCAGACGTGACTTGCACTTGGTAAGATTTTTTTCTGGAAGCACTAAAAACCATTTCGTTGGCCGTAGTATAGTCGATGTAACCAATCTGTCGGTTATTAATATTATAAGCCTTAATGGCTCCCAACAATGGTTTTTTAACATACCTGTAACGGCTCCAAACATTATTGATTGTTATAATACGAAAACTAAAACATTAATTATTATTTTCTCTAATGTATTATAGATATACACAACCAACGAATTTTCTCTCATTATATACAATACGAAAATAACGTGTTTTTTTCGAAAATTAAAATTTTGTTTATTGAATAAAATTGTTTAATTACTGTATTTAGTTAACAATGATTTTTGTTTGATATCCTACAAATACTTTTTTTTTTTAAATGCCCTGGAGCTTTATTATTTTAACCGACCCAAATGTATATTATATTATTATGTTAAATAATTATACATATTTTACATACCTAGGTACAAAATATAAATGATGTATAGGTCATTAACACGTTTATGAATTTACTTCCTGCAAATACTGAATAAGACAATACATACCTTTTATCTCATTTTCAGTGTTGTGCTTTAATTCTATGCTCGGACAGTATTTGGAAATTATTAAAATATTATTAGGTATCTTTTTTTTTTAACGGTCTAGTTTCATTGCTTAGGTATTCGCAATTTTTAATACCTAATGTTGAAAATACAAGGTTCCATATGAGTTTTACTTACTAAAATAATAAAAATAAGTTTTGGGTAGGTAATTCCACAGATATTTTTTATGGAAATCTGAAGTTATTTTGACAAAATTGGATATTTATGCAAAAAATAACAATTTAAATTCTTTTATCATACAAACTTGAAATATTACTCTGTTATTTAAATTATCATTCTCTATGCCTAATAAATGTAATTTTCAAAATTAATTTAAGTTAGATAGCTACCTACCTATTTCTGAGCATTTAAAATTTTATTTTTTAGGCTCTGCCTAAACCTTATATCTAACAGTGTTAAGTTAGTTATGGGTTGTACAACGTTAGTTTTACAAGTAAAAACAAAATCCTGATCATTTAATCAATAATATGTGTACCCATTGTAAACAATTAATATACACTTTTATAATTCTTTCAGAGACAAGACAAAGTATATAATGAAAATAATATACCTAAAGGAATTAAAGATTCTAAAAGCAGTGGTTTAATAGCTCCTAGAAGAGCTGTATTAAATGACTTAAGCAGTAACTTGCAGAATAATCAGAATGCTAATCAAAAAGGAAAAATTACAATAACAAAACCCACCATCCAAATAACAAAACCTACTACAAGACTTGCTTCTAAGTAAGTGTTTAACAGTATTATAATTGACATTTTATAAATATAAATAATGAAAAAATATGTTTTGTTTAGTTTAAATCGTACTACTACTTCAGTTGCTACAAAAGTGAAACCTTCATTAAACACATCGAAGACTGTTCTTAAAGTTAATACTGGTTTAAATGAAAATATATCCAACATTCCAAAAGCTATCATCAGACCTAAGACAGTTGGATTGATCAAGACTTATAGAGGAACTTTGACCAGGAGTTCATCGCTTAGAAACAAATCTGTAAGTGAAATACTCAAATACAACGTATTACATACATTTTAATGTTAAATTATCATATTTTAAAATGTATTTAGGTTGTATTGACAGAATCTCAAAAGAAGGAACAAGAATGGATTACTGCTTGTAAAGTAGATGCTGTTGACAAAAATGATGAATTTGATCCTTTTCTTGTCGGGGCATACTCCAAACCTATTTTTGCTTATATGATGAGCTTAGAGGTATTTGTTATAATGTACTATCTAGTATCAGTATGTACCAGTGTTAAATTAATTGTTTTATTTTATTAATTAAGAATCAACATATCATAAAACAAGATTATTTAGCCAACCACAAATACATCACATCATCCAACCGTAGTGTTGTTGTTGACTGGCTTGTGGAAGTACAACAAGAATTTCAAATTATGCAAGAATCTCTTTATACAGCTGTTGGAATTCTTGACAGATATTTACAAGTAATTATATATATTTAGCTACTTGAACTTCATCTCCTAATTTATTTGAAAACATCACAACCACATGAGTTCTATTTCCATCATATAAATGGACCACATAGAAAATTTTAGTTATTCGAATGTTGGTTTAATTTTTAAGCTAATTATTAGTACTTGTATGTTTAATTATTTTATATAATTGGCTCTAAAATTAAAATACATTTTATTAAAAAAAAACTAACTTAAACTGAATGTTTTTTAGGAAAACCAAAATGTTGCTCGAAATAAACTTCAATTAATTGGGGCCACAAGTCTACTGCTTGGCTGCAAGTATGAAGAAATATATGTACCTGAGATAACTGACTTTGTCTATTTATCGGACAATGCTTTCACCAAGGATGAAGTAAAATCAAGTTTAGTAGATGTCTTCAGAACAATTAATTTTTCACTTTCTAGACCTTTCTCTTTAACTTTTTTGCGAAGGTTTAGCAAAGTCTCAGGTGTAAGTATTACATAGTGTTTTCTTGTTATATAACTAGATTATATATGCATTATTTTTGTTTAGGCACGGTCATCACAACATTCTTTGGCTAAATACTTTTTGGAATTGGCTTTAATTGACTATAATTTGGCACATATTAAACCATCTGAAATAGCTGCATCCGGTCTATTGTTAGCAGTCGTCATAACCAATGATCCTGAATTAGATGATAATCCTGAAGACGTCAAATCATTATTATCTTTATATTGGACAGATATAATGCAAAAACACTCAACATATAAAATGGATGAATTGATATCTACCGTTCAATCGCTTGCGCATTTAGCTCTTAATGCCCCTGAATGGAAATACAAGGTAAAACATTTTTTTTCTCTAGGCGGATAAAAAATATCATTAAAATTCATTTTTATATGTAATGTACATAATTTAATGAATTAAAAATAATAAATGTCCTTATTTAAATAATTAATCACTATTGTTTATTTTACAATCAGGCTGTTTACAAAAAATACCAGAGTGCGAAAATGGGAAGAATTACAACAAGTTCCTTACTAAGCTCACCGGCTATGAGGTTTATTGCACAAACATGTTGATTAAGTATCTCCCAGACCTAACTATTTTTAACTTTTTTTAAATATACTTTGTTTTTATCGTGAGTGGTTATGCCACTGTTTTTTACATTAGATTTTTTTCGTATAATTATTACTCTAACATATTTTTTTTTAAGTAAAAAAGTGTACGCATTAACAATGTTAGTACAAAATAATATGTTTTTTTTTTTTATTGAACAAAACAAATATACCTATAAATTATATAACTTAAGAAAAGTATGTTTAGCTTGTTATGTTTTTTAAGTGTATTTTGATATATAACCATTGTATACAGTAACAATTATTAAATCACACTTAAATTATAATTTTACAAAATTGAACAAAAGCCATTTCGCTTTGAAGCGATATAACATACTTGTGTTGATATGTTCCAATTTTATAAATATTTATTTCTGTGGGGGTTAATGAATTATTCTTAAATTTAAGATTAAATTAAATTATTTACACAGACAATAGACTGAAATATTTTTGTTTTTAACACAGTTAAATTTATAAAAAAATAAAATGTTAATTCAATTTATACCGCTCTCAGTATGAAAGTGTGCCTTACAATTATTGTTTGTTTTTGTATTTATCATCAATATGTGTTCTCTGCCATTGCACTTCATAATTTAATTATTAATATAATATATTTTTCTTATGTTTTAAGAGTAATTGTATTGTGTGAGTTAGTTTTAATTTTTTTGTTTAGTAAATAGTTTGTAAAATAAAACTTTAGAATGGAAGTTATTTACATTTTATTTAGTATTTTAAAATTAGAACCTTTATCAAGTTTTCATTGGAAATTAATTTTGGAACCTTAGTAAGAAGAAAAAAAAATTTTTCTAATCAATGTTGTAGTATTTTAACTTTTAAGTAATGTATGTCTTCACTGGAGCTGTAGCCAAGTTCATCAGTGCTCCTGGCCATTAATAGGAAAATAATTAACTACATTGATAATTATTAACATAAATGTCAATAACTGTTTTTAATTCAATATATGGTGCTAACAAAGTTATAGATTTATTACATTCTCTATAAAACGAATATGTAAACATTTGTTTTGTTTTTTGGAAATATTCTTCAAGTTAGATAGTCTTCTTGTTTACATTAATTCAATTTTAAGGTACTTTTACACTTGATGTACAAAAATTGAAAAATTTGATATTCTATAAAACTAAATTACAAATTAGATAAAAATTCATGAATATTGATAATAATAAATTATTTTTTAATTTAATTAATAGATATTTTTCTTACCAAAAAATATAAGAATTAAATTTACATTTTCAATATGCTTAAATATTCTTTAGAAGATTTCCCCGATTGGTTTAATTTATGTTTAATTATATACCCGATTTAAAAATAAAAACATCATTTTCTAGCCAATTGTTCATATAACTCTACTGATAAATATCTGAACTTTTCTTATTAAACAATAAACATAGCCGTAGGTTTAATAAAATAAAATAGATACTTGTGAAGGTACAGTTATTCGTTTTTGAATAACAATAAAACAACAAAACGAGAATCAGAAATCGAGTGAATATCCAATATTATAAAAACATGAACTTCAAATGCTCATAAAAATTTGATTTGATTGTAGACATTTTTTTTTTTATTTTGATCAAAGTAGACAAACTTATGAGGAATCTTATATTACATTTTCAAATCTTTTAAAAAAAAAATTTTTTATGAATTTTCCACTCAAAATAATTTTTCAGTATTTTGTCAAGATTTTAACTTTAAATGCTTATAAATAAAAACTATGACTAAAGATTTTTAATATTTTTAAAATGTCATTGTAACAATAAAGTAGGAGCCTTGTATTACATTTTCAAGCTTTTTTAACCCAACTAATAAAGTTTTATTGACATTCAAAGAATAAAAGGTGCTCTGCTGTACAGTAGGTTACAAGTGGCTCACTGTTTAATGAAAGGTATTAAATTTGAATTCAATGATATAATATCATTGTATAAGAAAAACTATTCTGAGCGGAGACTGTATGTCAGGTTAGGTATAGGTAAGACATTATATACTTATCTATGGTATTAAAAAAAATTGACCTATAATAAATTACAAATTAATCATATCACAATATCCATTAGGTACTTATAACGCGTTATACATCAACAACAAACCCTGATACTATCATAGTCAATACTCCATAGATATATAATAGTGTACTTTAGAAATTTCAAGTACCCATGAATAATATTATACAATCACAACAAAATAACTAAATCAGTTATTCTAGGTTTCTTTTTATGTAGTTTTGTCCAAAGTTTAACTTAAAATGACTATAAAAATATACTGTGCTTCTGTATTTTTAGATTTTTTGGTAACAGAAAAAACTATTTACCTGAAATCTTGTTTTAAGTTTTTAATTCTTAGATATAAAAGTTGAACATTTTATAAATTTTTATCTACAAAATAATTGTTCAATTTTAAATTGATAAATTTTGTCAAAATTCGATCTTTAAATGCTTATGAAAAAAAATTGTGCCTATGTATTTTAAATATTTTTCAACTGATATTGTAACAATATATCAGGAGCCTTGTATTAAATTTTTACACTTTTTGGCCCAACAGATAAAACTTTATTGATATTTATAGAAGAAAAAACTAAAAAAATTTAAAACTGACAATGTCCGTTAACAGCTCAAAAAGAGTCAAAATATTTTCAAAATTGTATGGTGTATAGGAAATGCTAATATAAACATTCAGTGAAATTTTCATGTATCTACAGTTATTCGTTTTCGAATTACAACAAAATAAAGAAATCGAGTGAATACCTATCCTATGTTGTAAAAATTTGAATTTCAAACGCTCATAAAAATTTAATTTGACTTTCTTATTGATATTTTTTTTTTTGGTAAAGGAAGATAAGCTTAGGAATCTTGTTTTACATTTAAAAATCTTAGATTTAAAAAGAAAAAGTTTTATGAATTCCTAACTCAAAATAATTTGCTAATTTTCGTGATTTTTCCATATTTTGTAAATTTTTGAACTTTAAATGCTTATAAAAAAAACTGTGACTAAGGATTTTTAATATTTTTTATCTGCCTTTGAAAAAATATACTAGTAGCCTTCTATTAAATTTTCAAGCTTTTTTAACCATCAAATAAAATTTTATTGATATGTTTAGAAAGAAAACTAAAAAAAAATGGAAAATTAAAATGTCCCTAAACAGTTCAAATAATCAAATATTTTGAAAATGTATAGAAAATGCAAATATAATTAATAAGAGAAAATTTCATGTATCTACGGTCATTTGTTTTAAAGTTACACCAAAAACCAAATTCAATTTTGTGAAAAATCGATTTTGCGTAAAAATTCCCGTTTTTCCTTAATTTTTCTTTTGTTTTTCTTAGCGCATTTGAAAATTACTGTGAATTTTAAATTTTGACCTCCCAGTACACCAACGATATTCACTTTCCAATCGAACAAGATATTGAAGTTCAAAATCGAAGCATTATTTCGACTACTTGTCGTGTACATGCACAAAAAAAAAACACATTCTAAAATCAATACATTCATCGTTCCACTCAGAATCTAAAAGTTGAAATGACGCCTCTGTCGATATATTCAGCGACCAGCGTATTGCGTAAATAATATATAATGCTATCAGTGACTCAGTACCTAATACGCGATATAATTAATATAATTTACTATACGTATTATGTCATTGAGCAGTGGCGTCTGCATGGAGGGGGCTAACTGGCTAAAGCTCCCCCCCCCCATTGCCCCTATTATTGTTACTTAAAAAAAATATTTATCAAGTTTCAACTGTCAGCTATAGGAAGCAAGACGTAAATTTTATATACGTCTCACCAGAATGAATTCATTTTTGAAAAAACATTGTATTTGCATACCAATTTTCCTAAAATTATCTGTAATTTTTCGGTAAAAGTATGAACTACTTGTATAAAATACCTTGTATTATAGATTTTCTAGTCTTAGCTTATACAAATTTAATATTTTATTAGTTTTAACTAAGTATAAATTAACTGTGGTTTTGACGAAATTTGTACTTTAAACGCTTATAAAAAATAACCATGATGCCTATGTAGGTATCGTTAATATTTTAGCTATAGTAAAAACTTACCTACGTATTACATTTTTAAGCTTGTTAAACGGATAAATATTTTTTTATTGACATTTAAAGAAAAAAAATTTTAATTAATCAAATAGAATCCAAGAGGCTGTGTAACGAAGCTGGTTTCCAAAAAATTTTAATAAATTTTTATTTTTATTTCTCCTATTATTTTAAAAAGCACTGAGCATTTTCAATTTCGACCTCCTAAAAGTACCAACTGGATCCAATTTGCTTCCAAAAACATACATCGGGCATCGAAGCTTATGATAATATGATCAGAGCATTGTTTCTACCAGAAAAGTTGAAAAATTACAAACATTTATAATACCTACCTCAAATAAACGTCTGAAATCATCAGACTGGACAAAATAAAAATTACTTATTTTCAAGCCCTCCCCATTGAAAAATCCTGCGTACGCCACTGTCATTAAGTATATACACAGCAATAAAAAAAAACTCAATGTAGGTACCTATAGATACTCGTAATACTATTAACTATAAACTAATAAGTAATAAGTAATACCTAACTATTAACTAGTGATGAGTAAAAAACAACTGAGGAAGCATATCGAGAGCCACTGATTACCTGTGTGTGTGTGTGTGTGTGGTGGGGGGAAGGGCACCGGGTATGTCCCTCCTACAACATTGTAAACTTTTAAAGTGAAAACTATACTAAGCACAGCAGTTAAGCTTAAGATAATTGAGGTCATGAATATTTAGAATCATCAGTTACCTACTTACCTCCCTCTTAGGTAACGTTGTTAGTTGTTACACAATATTTGAATTCGTCGTTATAATTATACATATCATAAAATTTTTACCATAAGAAAATGTGTATGCCTGCAAAAAAATATTTAACAACATTTAGGTACTTAATATTATTGTTTAAAATAAATATAGCTATTTATAAAATCAACTAAAAACTGCCAAAATGTTTTATCCAAGGTGTTTCATCATAGGCGCAAATTGACTAAATTTTATGGGGGGACTCAAGTCCCCCCGGCCCTCCCCATAGGTCATATTGCTTATAGTACCACAGAATATAAAAATTAATACTAATTACTAGATTTTGAACTGGGGGGACTTGACCGACATTTGGGGGAACTAAGTCCTCCAAGCCCCCGCCCTATTTGCGCCAATGCGTTTCATCAACAAGTTGTTAATACAACGTCGCAATATTATCTTTTAAAGAGCTAATTTAGTACTATAGTATATTATACCATATACGGTATACCTATTATCTACTCCTACATTTTTATACGCGTAACAAAAATACAAAATATAAAGTTGTTCATTAGTCGACGATTAACCATAATACAGTCATGTTGTTTTTGTTCTTATCTGACTCAATATACGATAAAACTACGTATTTTAGTGTATCATTTTAATATAGGTATTTAAACACTTTTTAAATAATAAAGCTATACAATTTACAAAGATTACTAAATATTATTTTGTTAAGTGTTATTGACTAAAGTACCTACCTAGTAAAATATAAACTTCATAATACACGAGTGTTCGATGTTCATACATATTATTCTTATTATATTAATATTACAATAAATTAAACGCCTAAACTTATAACTATAGTCCGCTATAATGATTGTTTTATTTGCAACAATAATTATTACTATAACAGTGTTTTCTCCAGCGGACACGGCAAACATCTTAGCTTTGTTCCCTCACCAAGGTTTTAGTCATAATGTGGTTTACCAGCCATATATCCAAGAACTCGCAAAACGAGGACACAACATCACTATTATTAGTAACTATCCGCTAGAACATCCAAACATAAATAATATATCAATTAAAGGATCAATGCCTATATTTTACAAAAGCAAAAAAAATATCAGCCATGTGGAAGGCAATTCAGTGAACGAAATACAAAGGTCAATAAATGTAATTTGGGGATTTTATGATCGCGGAAAAATATATGAAGCCATATTTACGGTAGACGGTGTGAAGAAATTATTAAACAGTCCTTCTAAGTTTGATTTACTAGTTACAGAACATTTTAATAACGAATTGTTTTTGGGTTTTGCATCAAAGCTCAACATTCCTTTTATACTTCTGAGCAGTTGCAACTTGTTGCCCTGGAATCAGCATGCTGTTGGTCAGCCATATTCGTTAGCCAATATACCTTCAACATTGACCGGTTTAGGCACTGAAATGAGCTTTTATAGCAGAGTTATAAATACAATTTCTCATACTGTACAAATATTTGGTTATAAGCTTTTGTGTCGGACTAGAGACGAAGCAATCATCAAGCGAAATCTCGACATTAAAGTTTCATTGGACCAATTAATTTTGAATGCTAGTTTGATCTTGGTTAATACTCATTTCACAATGTTGGAATCTAAACCGTTGGTCCCAGCCGTTGTGGAAATCGGTGGGATACACATAATGCCAATCAAACCTTTGCCTACAGTAAGTGTCTAATTTAGCTTATCATAATAATAGTGTTTTTTGATTTCAATAGGGTAGATTTGTAAAGCCTCCCGATTTTAATGACCTGTAGAGTGCAGACTATCCTTTAGGGTATTACACATTAATTTAACTTCGTTTTTTACATTATAATTGTATCATTATATACATAATATGAACATACAAATTAAAAAAATTCTAAGTAGGTACGTAGGTACATTATCTAATTATATTATTATAGCAGGTAGGTTGTAGGTACCTAAGTACCTAACTGCCATCCAAAATGTTCTTATAATAGATAGGGTTCGTAAGACATAGGTTCAGATAATCGAGATCCCCTGTATATAAATTAAAATTATAATAAATAATAAAGGTAGGTAATATAAATCATTTTCTTCATATTATGACTGTGAGCTATAATTATTATTATTGGGATCCTAATAAATCAATTTACTTAGAAGTAAGCTACTGAGCTATAATTATAGTCATTTGCTGAGTCATATGCAAATATAATTATTAATTACTAGTTGGTAATTAGTAATTACTAATCTTAACATATTATAAAACAAAGTACCTTTTTCTCTCTGTATGCTTAGATCTTTAAAACTACGCAACGGATTTTGATGAGGGTTTTTTTTAATTGAGAGAGTGATTCAAAAGGAAGGTTTATATGTATATACCTAACATGCATAATGTAGAAGAGAAACACCCCTGGGAGGTGCTCAAAAATGGATTTTGAGATTTACGATAGAAATTATTGTTTGTTAAAGGTTGCTATGGACACAAGCATATGTATATATATATCTATAGGTCCTCGAAATAGGAATATACGAAACACACAGATGCGAACCACACTCCGCATCCCAAATACCTTGGAATCATCCTAGATAGATCGCTCACTTACAGGGAACACTGCATAAATACAAAAGCAAAAGTAAACACAATGAATAACTTAGGTACTTAAGAAACTAGTCCTCACAAATTGGGGGGGGGGCAGACCCCACAACCCTCAGAACAACGGCCCTAGCGCCAGCAGCAGAATACGCCTTCCCTGTATGGATGTTATCAACTCATGCTAAGAAAGTAGATGTGGCAGTTAATGAAACCTATAGAATTATTACTGGCTGCCTAAAACTGACTAACACCAACAAATTATATACTCTTTGCGGTATAGCTCCACCAGAGATCAGACGACAAGTAACAGCCGAAGAAGAGAGAAAGAAATGCAACTCCAACGGAAGACATCCTTTGTACGGCTACATACCACGAAATAACAAAACACAGTTTTCTACACAGCACTACAGGGACCCTGCAATCGAAAGCCGATGGACGTATATTGAAATAATGAAATGGAAAGATAGATGTAAAACGGACGACCCAATAAGGACTAGAACCTCAGAGAGCCTCCGACCGGGTAGGGACCTGAAGTATGGACTCTGGAAAACTTTAAACACTACCTAAGAGTAGAAGTAGGGAGAACAAAATAGACCTCATGCGATGGAAGATAGGAGAGACCGCAGAATGCGAATGCGGAGACGTTCAATATGATCAACACCTTCTACAGTGCGTGCGATTTGACTATATAATACGAATTGTGAAAGAGACGACCTTTTCAAAGAACCAACGAAGTAATAAAACAGATCCAAATATCCAATATTGGCTCAAAAAGAAATTTAATATAGCTGATTGACACAAAAAAGATAGGAATATAGGAAATATTCAAATAAAAAAAAAAAAAATAATAAATCTTAATCTTAACAAAGTTATATATTATAATTAGAAGAATTATGGTACATACATTGTGTATAAATATATTTATAGAAAATACAAATCTTTGGCCTGGACAACGTCGGGCGGGATAGCTATATTAATATATTAATATTATATAGTAAAATAGTACCTCTGTACCTACTGGCTACTATACCTAACATGTATATTTTAACAGTAAATAAAAATCGTAATTTGTAAAATCATTCCAAGTTCCAATCCAAGTAGGTTGAGTTAAATAGCTACCTACTTATATAGTTTTCCAATATTTTTATCACCCAAACATTATTCTGATAAAAAATACAATAATATACCTGTATTTTTTAATTTTTTTTGTTCAATAGAAATAAATATAGATACTTTTCTTTCTAAGTACAAAAAACGTTGTGCAATAATATATTTGTATTTCTGGTATTGTACCTATGTTCAAATTGGAAATTGTTCGATATGGATATGATTAATTTCAGCTCACAAAGTGTAATATTACAATCATAGTGAATCATGTGTTGGTTTAACTTTCGTTTTTCCTAGAAGCTTCGTATGCAGGCATTCTATTGATGTATTTCGAATCGAAGCAACGAGGCCCTTATAGTAATCAGGACGTTTTCGTCTTTTATAAATTTATGTTTGAACACCACCATTGTGAACATAATATGACGGTGTACCTATTTACATAATATTATACATTTATAATAATTTATAATATACATACAATCAACAAATTTCAAATATTTAGCACATGACTATAGCAATATTAGCATGAATTTGTATTTTTTTCGACAGTTATCGTAATTTTTAGGTAAGGTATCGGTTCAACAAGGAAATTCAATTTTCTAAGAGTAGGGCATGGAGAAACTTTTAACTCACCATACCCACGCGGAGAAAAAAAAATTCATGGTCCGCGAGTACTAAATATTTGCACGGAAAAATTTAAACAAATTTAAATAGGTGGGGCTGGAGGAATCGTACTTACCAATCAGAGACTCTTACGATGTAATTGTAACGAAAACTAACACCTATCTATACCTGTCGTTGGTAGAACGATTAAATTATTCAAATAGCCCTTTGATTGCGTGGATTATACATCCCCGGTATTTATGTGGTCCACGGATCACAATGGCATACAGGGGCGGACTTGAAATTTTTCCGCCACTAAGCATATGCTTATACTATTCTCATTTAGTTTTCATTGTTTTTAATTAATCAAATTAATTAAATTAAGTTAACTTAATATTTTTTCTTTTGATGTCGTTCATAACAGCTTATAATAGCGTAATACATAAAAATGTTGGGCCGCGTTTCCAAAGCGTATCTCAAATTTCGTCCGAAGTAAAATTAGGTTGGCGAGACCCCTGATATATAATGTATTAATTTAAACCTATTTTCTTTGTTTTTGTGCTGTAGGTAATCCAACACTGATTCTGTTTTTATATTATTTGAAATATCCCTCTTATAATATTTAAAATGGACAAGTCAGTAAACCATTGCTATAACATACTTGTTCTCAGACCTCAATCAATTTTTAATTCTAGTAAAACTTCGTTCACATATGTTACAGAAAACATAACTTGTAATTGTAACCGAAATTTTAAATTAATCAATTATGTTGGAAAACACTCTTAATGAATTGTTTCTTTTTCATAAAAACGTAAAATAAAAAAGTGGGTAAGTGGATGTCGCTCTGCTGTACAGTAGGTTACAAGTGGGTCACTGTAATGGATGGTGTTAAATTTGAATTCAATGTTATAATATCAATAATATCATTGTATAAGAAAAACTATTCAGAGCGAAACTACGGTCAATCAGCCTATGATACTAAGTATATTTGATGATATTATCACAGACTATATTTCATATAGTCTGTGATATTATTGTGAATAAAGTAATTTATATATAACCTATATTTACGTGGAACCTTGTTTTACATTTTCAATCTTTACCTATAAAAGTTTAACATTTTATAAATTTTTAAATTTTAAATTTGATACATTTTGTCAAAATTCGAACCTTAAATGCTTATAAAAAAAAATATTGTATTAATAAGTATGTATTTTTAATATTTTTAAACTGCTATTGTAACAGTATATCAGGAGCCTTGTATTAAATTTTCACGAATTATTACCCAACAAATACAATATTATTGACAATTATAGAAAAAAAAACTAAATATATTGATAACTGACAATGTCCATAAACAGGCAAACATCTCAAAAAGGGTCAAAATATTTTGAAAATGTTATCAAGTATAGGAATTTATTAAATGAACATTTAGTCAAAATTGCATGTACCTACGGTAAAATGTTTTAGAGTTGCACCAAAAACCAAATTCAATTTTCTCAAAAACCGATTTATGTAAAAATGCCCGTTTTTCCTTAATTTTTCTTTTGTATTTCAAGGCGCTTTTGAAAACTACTGGGACATTTTTAATTTTGACCCCCCCCCCAAGTACTAACTAGACAACCGAACAAGATACTGTTGAAGAAAATCGAAGCAGTTTTACTGCCCCAAATCATGATGACAGACAAAAATATTGATAAAAATTGAAAAATTAAAATAAAAACACACATCATTGTAAAATCAATACATTCATCGCTCTGCTCAGAATCTAAAACATTACATATAAAACTAATGATATTGTTGAATTTTTAGAATTATTATACAGTATATTACACATACTTGTCAATTAAATTATTTTTACACATAAATAGGACATCCAGAAATATATTGACGAATCTAAGGACGGAGTCATTTATTTCTGCATGGGCAGTTCATTACGGGGTGAAAGTTTTTCGGTCGAAAAAAGACAGAAGTTCTTAAATGTCTTCGATAAACTTCCACAACGAATTCTGTGGAAATGGGAAGGAGAACTACCAGGAAAACCATCCAATGTAATGATTCGGGAATGGATGCCTCAACGAGATATTTTAGGTATATCGAATATAGGCATTTAACATACGTTTTTATGTCGTTTAAAATGTAATAAACGTTAGTAAATGAACGGTTTGTCGTTTGTACTGTCCAGCAATTTAGAATGTAAAATTTAACTTGTGATATAATATATTGTATTAAATCAAAATGTTTGACCATGAACACCATTAGTTAATTATTATATATATAATATACATATATATGTAATTTATTTATTTTTTGTATACAGCACATCCCAATGTTAAACTATTTATATCTCATGGTGGTCTATTGGGAACTACTGAAGCTGTACACGAAGGTGTCCCAATTTTATCAATGCCAATGTTTGGTGATCAAATAACAAACATAAAATCGGTTGTAAGCAGAGGAGCTGCAGAGATGATGAATTACGGAAATTTGAATGAAGATGAAATTTTTATAAAAATAACATCCATGCTCACAAATCCTAAGTAAGTGTATCGTTATTAAGTTTAATACCACTCGCGGACCGTTTTCCGCCAGTTATACGTAAAATTGTTACTATTATGAGTAGTACAGTACCTATATAGGTAGTAGTATAATATAGATGATAGACTATAGTGAAATACATGAAGATAAGAGGATCGGTATTCACTACTTACAGGCACGTATACAGGGGGGGGGGGGTCCCCCAAAAATGAATAGTTGTGTACTTTATTTATATATATATAGATTATGACCTCCCCCTGAATTTTTTTTTGTGTATGCGCCTGACTACTTATGCGTTTTATAAATTATTTATGAGCTTTACTTATTTGTTAAATATAGATACAGAAAAAAGGCTAAAGAGTTATCTGAAGCTTTTCGCGATCGACCTATGTCTGCTTTGGAAACTGCAGTGTATTGGACAGAGTATGTTATCCGACACAAAGGGGCACCGCTTCTTCGGTCTGCCACCATCGGTACGCCTTGGTACCAATACTATTTAATCGATGTATTGATTGTAATTTTCTTATTTGTAACAACAATTTTTGTATTACTCTACTGTTTAATTTTCAAAGTTCTTTTAAGATTGTTGAATAGAAAATCTAAAGAAAAACAGTCTTAATAATAATGTTTATGTTTAATTGTTTAATAAAAATACGAAAATAGTGATTAGTGATTACCTTGTTATTGTCAATTCGTGGTACATATTATATACCGCGTGTCCCAAAAATCAGGGGCCACTTTACTACTCATTACCATGTAAATATTTTTCAATTCTGTTTGCGGGACATTAAACTAGACTAATGGATCGTAAATTTCTTTGACTCACAATGATTTTAACTCGTGTATCTTGCGCATGCGCAATAAAACTTACATTTTTTTAAATGGCAACCCGTAATTTTAATATCATATTCGGGTTCATCGATTTTTTTCAAGCCATTTTGATGTATCAACTTATGTCCTAAACCCAAAATTGACTAAACTAGAGCTAAGTAGAATTTAAATAATTTAAAAATTCAATTTAATTAATTTTTTTTTTCTAACTGTACGTACTTATTTTTTTCTTCTAAACACCATGAAACAAATAAACAAACAATCAAAATTATTATTATTAAACTAATTACCTAACTATTTACTATTTATGAATTATTATCTTATTTTATTATTACGCATTATAAAATAACATAGTTTAAACATGTATTTTCAAGAAACAACATTTCTGTTTTATTTTTTTTACCATTACTATACATTTTTATTTACAATTTAATTTACAGAAATTACAGACATAAACTATTCAATAAACTAAGAAAAAAATTACTAGTGGAGGGCTAGGAGAAAAAAACAGCCCGGGAAAATCATAATTTTAGAGGCCCTATGTATACTAACGGCCCTTTTTATAATATATTATATATACATTTTTTTTTGTAAATACAATTTAGTTTTTATATTTTTAAATATTTTAATTAATTGATATAAAACAAAATAAAATAACTATTGTAAATTTGTTAGTTAGAGTTTAAATAATTATTATGTATGTAATTTAAACTACAATCAATTTGATTTAGTTTTTTAACATATTAATAATATCATCGCATTATCAATACTAAATAAAACATTTTTTTCGACTGACATCAATAAAAATCAAACGTTTATGCATATCCCATTTATTTATTTTATTTGAATAAAACAATATTAAATAATTATGATTTTAATAATAAAAAAAGGTGCTCTGCTGTACAGTAGGTTAGCCGTTAGGTACAAGTGGGTCACTGTTTAATGGATGGTATTAATTTTGAATTCAATGATATAATATAATTGTATAAGAAAAACGATTCTAAACGAAGACGGTATGTCAGTCTAGGTATAAGACATATTATATACTTATCTATGGTAGGTATTAAAAAAAAATTGACCTATAATAAATTCCCAATTAATCATATCACAATATTCATTAGGTACTTATATAACGCGTTATACATCAACAACAACCCTGATACTATCATAGTTATAAAATAGTGTACTTTAGAAGTTTCAAGTATCCACGAATAATATTATACAATCACATCATTATTATTATAACACACATCATTGTAAAATAAATACATTCATCGTTCCACTCAGAATCTAAAATAAATGAAATAATTACTTAACTTTATCAACAATATTATAGTATAAAATGTCTTAAAAATTTAAAATATGCAGTACCTAATGGCTAAATAATATTCATCTATTAATTAATACAGATTAATATGTACCTACTACTTATCTAATATTAGAATATCCAAAATTATACATTAATATATTATTAACTAATAAAGAAATAACTACAATAATTAGTAAATATAAAATGTAGGTAAATAAGGTAGATAATATTTATCGAAAGTTTGTATAATTATTGTACTTACCTTTCTCGGTTCTTAAGTTTTTTGGGTTATTAAAATAACTTATTAAAGCTCTCTTCATTATTTATTGGTTCTTACACTTGTGACTTGTGAACAATATGAACTGTAATCTGTATATACAATATATACTGCGACGTTAGTAGCGAGGCCTCTGAACTGTAGTAAATTATTATGGGTAGGCATATGTGAGATCCACTCATCAGTCATCATAATAGTATATTGGTGTATACTGTATAAAAATAAAATATTATGATAGTATAATAAATAATAATATTATTTTACACTTGTAAACCTAACATTGTGAATTGTTTATTGTATTGTAAAACAATTACATTTAATGCTGAAAATTGCAATTAAAATTTTAAAATAAACTAGTTAAAAAAAGCTATATGCATAAAATAAAAATACATTTCCTGTAACTCCAAAGCTCTACTTGGATATAATATAAAAATGAAACTAATGTAGGTATCAATAAAATTAGGGCTAGTCCATTAAATGGTATATTTTTCCAAACAATTAATTATTTTATATTACAATTACTAACCAATTTATATTAACCATTATATGTAGGTAAGTATCTATAATTATTAGGTAATCAGTATAAATTATGAATCCTTATATTTTTAAAAATTCATCATAAAGATATTATTAAATTAGGGTTATTGTCACTAAAACTATTTTGCACCTAGTGAGCTACTTATCTGCGGGCGTGCCTGGTTGACTTCAACGAAAAAAGAAGTAAGATCTCAATGGGTGCCAAGTTCGGATAATATATTGAAGCCTAAGGTCTGACTTGGCTACGAATTATATTATAACATTCGCAAGTTCTAAAGCTTTGAGTTCTTATTTTATTCTTCGGAAAATCATCTTCACTCTTCCATTACTATTTTAGTAGGTACTTATTCGTATATGAAAACTAGCTGAGTCAGACCTTAGGCTTCAATATAATATTATCTTAACTTGGCACCTATTTAGATCTCCCTACTTTTGTCGTTGAAGTCAACAACCAAGGCATATATTATAGTATTGAACTTGGCTCTCATTTTACATATATGTTTTTGGTGGGATCCATTATACAGTGACCCACTTGTAACCTACTGTACAGCAGAGCGACTTTTATAAGTTTTCTGAGAGCTTTAGACATTGTATTTTAAACAATCTAAAATATGAAAAAATTAAGATTAAAAAATATTGCATTTTGGTTTTTAAAGTGGGTATTAAATGTTTAACTATTTAAATATTATTTTGTTTCTGATAGAATATCTAGTAGGTTAGGTTTCCTTGGTGAAAAAATGTGTTTTTTTAAAAAAAAAATCACAGTTTATAATGTTTGTCATATGGCATATAATTGCATATTGAGCCTCTTTTTCCATGCATATTTGACACTTTTTAAATGCATATAAATCCGGGCTCTAATTATAATGTTTTTCTATAATAGTATTATGACTTATTAGTTTAATTAACTAACTATGTCGTCAAAAAAATAATATTTTTAAGGGCAAATTAATTTTGTCAGGTAAATAATTTAGTTGATATTTATATTAATAGTAATTGGAAGTTTGATTGTGCATCACATGGTATTTTTTCTTTTACCTAATTATGAGTAGGTACCGGACTTTTCCACCCCGGACTTTTTATGTTTCGGACTTTGTCACCGTTGACTTTTTATACCTCGTAATTTTATACCTGGGACTTTTTAACCACGGACTTTATTACTCAGACTTCTTGGTAGTATACCACCCATTACCCAACTTTTTTAAAAAACGCTTGGGAAGTAAGCTACATTCGTTCCTAACTCCTAAGTTTGAATGCGTATAAACGCTATATACACAGAATTAGGTAGGTACCTATTTAAAGAAACAGCCTTATTAGCGCTACTGGTGGCCAATGCCTGCATTAAATACCTTAAAATAAAGTCTAAAAAATTAATTAATCAAAGATTGGAAGTGACCTGCAGACACCTATATTACCTACATCATGAAATTAACTAATTTTAAAATTAAAAAAAAAAAGTTTTGACAATAACTTACAAATTAAGTTTGAGCGTTTTTATTTGAAAATAGCATAAAATGAATTAATTAAGCATGCAAAAGGCAAAACATGCATTTTGAAGCAAAAATAATTAAAAAACGCTTGTTAGCTGAACTGCATTTATGCCAAACTTTTAGCATATCTCATACGATTTTTGTGTGTTACTGTGTTAGGCACAATTTAAGATAGTACCTATGGTTGCCCAACGAGCTATGTTAAGGCGGCATAGGATAATCACGTAACTTTTGGATTTAAATCTTAAATGTAATATGTATACAAATAATAATGAGTAAATAATAAGTAAATAATATGTAGTACCACTAGTACCTAGTAGTAGTACATACTAGACATGATCTAATAAGATTTAAATGATATACCGAGTTATGACATTTTTCTAATGGGTCGTTGGGCAACCATACTATCTTAAATTGAGGTGTTAGGTTAGAATTTTGATATTATATTGTCAAGCAATGTAAAAAAAATGAAATTTTTTTTAAAATTTTAATGGAAATCGGATGTTTAATATTTCCACACCTGCACGGCTGTACCCATAATTACTATCTCCAATATCAGCTCTATAAATCCCTCATTAAGTTCAATCTTGATTTATAATCTTTCGTATTCATAACTACCAACTATTACTTTATATTAATAGTACCTATTAGATATTATGTAATATGCTTACTCAGTGTTAGCGGGTGGGGGAGGGGGGGCGCAGGGGGGCGGAGCTCCCCACTGTTTTTAGTTTTTTTTTGCTTACCTTTACTATTTTTTTTTTACTTGGACCGGGGGACGGTACAAAGTAATGTCCGAAATAATTTTTATTAAAATGTGGATTACAATTGATGTGTCAATTATACAACAAGTTTTACTATTTTCCATATCAAAATTATTTTTGTTATTAGTTTATTACACGAATTAAGATGTATCTTAAGTCGTGGTTTATTAATAAATTATAATCTTTCTTTCTTATCGTGTGGGGGACAAGGTGAGAGTCTGCACGCGGCGTCCCCTGCATAGCGATTTAATCCAGACCTGGACATGTCGCTAAAGGCGCGTTTACACGGTTCGCACTCTTGATGATCATTTTGGATGAATCATCCACAGTGAATAAGAACAATGTAAAATGATCATCATCATTGAACGTTGAACAAAGTTGGGTCATGTCCAACTTTCCTTCACTCTGGAT